AGTACGTGTTAAACACAAACAGATCTTCCATTCGTACTTGACATTTTACTTTTTACATTAATTAAAAAAGGAATTTTGATTGAAATGTTTGAAGTCTTATGTTCATTTTTAGAAAAGAAGAAACACAAATACAAACAATGGAGGTCTAAGTGAAAAATACCTGGAGCCAATCAGAATCCATGCAAACTTGAAGAGAAGTGAGACCCATTTGGTGGTTTGTTTACTTTGGGGGAGAGTGAGATTTTTAAGACAAGTTTCTGAATAAAATCTAGAGAGAGAATTGGAGAAGAGAGAAATATGAGATGATGAGGCAAGGAAGAGTTTGGGGTTGGGATGTGAATAAGAAGGAAGCAAGAAGAGGACCCTTCTTCTCCTCGGGATTGCTGTCTCCACTCAAAGCTACTTACTTCTACTACTTAACTTAACTTATTATTAGTTCACACTTAATTATTTTGTTTTTACTTTTTTTGTTCCAAGTTTATAATATTAGAAATAATTTCGTCAAAAATGGTTATTGTATCTATATGAAATTCAATTATTGATTATGATCGTGGATAACTCTGGTGATCCTTATTTTGAAACCACGTACTTTATAGAAATAAAATTCCTTGATATGAAATTATGAAGACATAATTAATTCATCAATTTTTTTTATTTATTTTGGTTAAAGTAATTAATCAATATGTTCTGTTTCCAGTTACAAAGAAAAAGATCTTTCAAAATTTTGATTTTTGAAAAGTTAATACGCCTCGCTTTGGTGTGATCATGATCAAAGTTAAAACTTTAATTTCGAGTTATTTTTGGTATTTTAAATGTCTATAAGTGTATAAAGATGGACCGTATATACGGTCGGATGTTGGCGGAGGAAAAAGAAAGCGTCGGTGGTTCCAAAATCCACATTCTTTGGTGGGTCTACGTCAACTTGACCAATCGTCTTTATCAATCTAACGGTTAAGATCAAAGCCATGGGACCTAAATGGACAATGTGAGCCGTCAGATGAGTTCAGAAATAGCGGCTTGATCGTCACACAACAGAGACAAAAGTGAGAGAGAATAATCTTTTTTCCAAGTTTTGTCTCTCTGTGTTTTTGAGACTTACGATAAAAGAAGGACGAGTTTTGATAACTTAGGTGGGCCTGTTAATGGGCTCCACTCGCTCGCTCCTCTCAAGCAAAGTATCTATTCTCTTGCCACCTGTCACTTTCCTACTTCTACCATGTGGTAATATGATTCAAGTTTTTTTTTTTTTTTTGACTTCTTGAATCATTAGTTAATTATTTGAAGAGTTCAACTACTTTTGATGTTTTCTTATTATTAATTTCCACAGTAAAAGTTAAAGAGTTTGATCGATGAAAAAGAAGAACAAGAAACAAGAGTTTGAGGGCTGTGATAGTGTTTTTATCAACTGAAAAATTAAGGTTTTCAATGTATAATTTTTTATTTAAACAAACTAATTAATTTTATTAAGTTCAATGTATAGTAAAAAAAGGTTCAATTGTATAGTTAATTTTCAACTCTAAAAATGTTATTTCATGATTGTATAATATGTATAGTAGTTTTGGTAGACGCAATAATATTTTAACATAACAAAACCGACGATTAGTTAAGCTTATTGTCTTTTTCCAACTGATTCAGTTATGGTACTACGTATCTACGTTCTTATCATTAGTGAAATCATTTTTATTTGCGTACATGAAATTTATATTAGTACTATTTTGTTAAGTTGATCTTGTTTTTTCGTGTGTGTGTGTTAGTTAAATCATCATGTTGCACTTGTAAATTTGAAAGATATTCATCGGACGGTAGGATAATTAATAGTAAAAGTTTCGGATTGGATTGGATTGGATTGGATTGGATTGTAGGATTGGTCATCAAAAAGAGAAAATACTACGGGACTAAAATATTTTGATTGAGCTGATAGTGGGATTTCAAATGGAAATTCCGCCGGAGGCACCTGCTGCCATTGTAATGCGACACATGCTATGGACTATATATAATTAAATATTGAAAAGTGGAGGTCAAGTAAGATCTATGCAATATTGTAGTTTCTTACTTTTGAATCTGACGTTCAATTTCAAATTTTATTGATGATTAAAGATCACGATTCGTCAAAATTTCAAATTACATTGATTTAATCTATATGTATTACAATCAAATTTGGTAGTATTACTAGAAATGTTATATTTAATATCAAACCTCAGATTGAAACGAATACAAACCTCATTATACCGATTATACAATACGGTTAAAATGATATTAATACAAATTGTATAATCAACTAATTTTACCATACAATATGAATTAATGATCCGAAATTTATAGGGAAAGCTTCGTAACTCTATGAGACAAGTGGGAAACTGAAGATTGTAAGGATCTAGGGAGAATACTTCATAGTTGGTTCACATGAATTTTTCAAAAATAGAACTTATAAAAAGAAGAAAGGAAAGAGGAATAAAAGGGCATCGAAAATGGTGTGAGAGAGAATAAAATAAATCACCCAAGATAAGCTAAGCGCCTAAGCGTGACGGAGACAATTTCTTTGGCACATATATGGCTTTGATTGGTGAACACACATAAAGTATTACAAGCGATACAGCTTTTATTTTTACCAATCATAAAAACTTTATCAAAAGCGTTACTAAAAGTTTTACTCTCAGCATTTTTGTATAGCTTTTTTCGTACAGTTCTTTCGTACAGTTTTGCACTATTCCGGTAAAGCTAACAGCTCCAGCTAACAGTTAAAAAACTTGTACAGTTTTTGATTACCAATCAGACCCTATATCTCTATTTAGTGAGACCCACTTTTAAAGTTAAACTAGAGTATAATATGTCCCGCGTATCTTTGTTCCATTGCATTTATTTGTCATTACATCATCATAACATTCGTATATAACATAAGTCCAATACTACAATATTGTGATATAGAACTTTTGGAAAATGAAGTATATGTACAATGGAGTTTATGTAAGTTTATAGGAATTCTTAAGGAGTATATATGTAAATTTGTACAAACTCGAGAATTGAGTACTAAAGGAAGCATAACAGAAAACAAAATGGTTTCAACTTCCTAGCAACTTGGTTTTAACGAAACCGAAATAAACCAAAGGCAATGATCATCCTTTATTGGGATCACCACTTAACCAGCACATTAATGAACTTAAACCAGGTCTAATTGAGATCACAAACCAACAATAGTATTATATTTACATTTTTTTTGTTGTCTATGTATTCCTTCTTGAATGTTCTCACTTCAACACCATGATTCTAATACGTGTATAATATACGAAAATTTTGATATGTATAGAATATGCTTCAACTCAACCATATATATATATACGGATTTTGAATATTTCTACCCTACATTTATCAGTGAAAATATGGAATGGATTACATATGCTTTTATAAAGGTTGAGATACCTATTTTGGTTAAATTTCAAGATGTCAAACCTTATGCTTATCCAACGAAATTTGAAATAATATTCGACAAGAAAAGTATTTTAATAAGTTGTATTATTCCTTTTTAGTATAATTGTAGAACATATTCCTCTATTCTTTTGTGGGTCGTACCTCTATATTTTCAAATCATGAAGTATGGACCTAATTTTTTTTTGTTAATGAATGGACCTAATTGTTTGAAGATATTAAAAATCTATACGGTGGACAATTTATATAGTTAGAATAATAATTTATTAACTTCGGTTTGAGTATATAACTATATATATATATATATATACTAAAACCTGTTTTCATTCAATTTTGATATTAGTTTATTTGAATTTACAAATAAATCGGTTTACAAGTAAAAGTATTGGAAAAATCATTGCCAGTTACACGAACTATATATCAACACATCACCACACATGCAGACTATTTTAATGTTTTGCTAACTACACGAACTATTGGTATTACATACGGACATCCCCGAACTATCATCGGTTATGTGTGCAACACCATAACCATCATTTCCAAATAATATAAATGTCTTGTTAACTACACGAAGTATTTCTTTTTTTGTCAACTACACGAAGTATTTTCATCAAAAAATTTTTAAAACTAATAAGTTAAATAAAACTATATAATATATCAATGTAAATTATATATGTACATTATAACTATTCTAACTTTAAAATTTTAATGTAATAAAGACTAAACTAGTTCCATAAAAAATATATGTGTTCATTAAAAATTTGTTAATTAACTTAAACCTATAATGAACATGTATAATTTAATTAAGTGACACTTTTAAAATTTTAGTTAAATTAATTTCATATAAAACTTATGTGTGCATTAAAAATTAGTTAATTAATTTAACTTAAAATTATAAGGGATACTGCATATGTAGAATTTAAACTTTAAAAGTTATAATGCATATATATAATTAACAATAGTGTATTATTTACTTTTAGTTATTTTTTCATTTTGTAATTTAGTTTTAAAAAAATGATGGAAATATTTCGTATAGTTAACAATACATTTATATTATCAGGAAATGATGGTTGTGGTATATATAATTTACATTGATATATTATATAGTTTTATTTAACTTATAGTGATGTATAATTTAACTAAGTGACTATTTTAAATTTTTAACAATTTAATATAATAAATATTAAATTAGTTAAATTAATTTAACTTAAAAGTATAATGCATTAAAAGTTATAATATATATATAATTTATAATAGTGTAATATTTACTTTTTAGTTATTTTTTATTTTTTAATTACTTTTAAAAAAAAAAATTGATAGAAAATATTTCGTGTAGTTGACAAAAACAAGAAATATTTCGTGTAGTTAACAAGACATTTATATTATCTGAAAATGATGGTTATGGTGTTGCACACATAACCGATGATAGTTCGGGGATGTCCGTATGTAATACCAATAGTTCGTGTAGTTAGCAAGACATTAAATTAGTCTGCATGTGTGGTGATGTGTTGGCGTATAATTCGTGTAGCTGGCAATGATTTTTCCAAAAGTATTCGCCAAATAGAAAAGCATACTGGCCGAAAAAACTCTGCAACTCCATTTAGTTAATAAGCGTTAAGTGTATGTTACAACTTACAAAAATTAAAATATATATTCTTAGCTAAAAGATAACAACTCAAAAACTTCATTTGCAAGTCACAACTGTTCACCGTTGTCTGTTTCTTCTTCGGCATTATCTTCATGTGTTTCAGTTGTTGGCAGAGGCGGTAACAAATCCTTCACAAGCTCTAATATCCCATCTGTGTTGATTTTTCGATCATCCGGTGTCTCTATGATCTACAAGAGAGTCACAAACAACAAATGTTATAAACAAGAAGATGAGAAATAAAATGCAGTGATAGAAATGTTGATGACATTTGGTAGTGTTATAAGATGGAAACAACACACAAAAAAAAAAACACAAACCGGTAACAATTCGACAATAGAAGAAGGCCGGAGATTGATGATATTGAGAATCTCAGCTTTGGCGACTTTGAAATCTTTGCACTTGTCTGCGAATTTGGTAACGCTCTCTCGTGTTTGAGTAGAAGCAGCAGTCTCCACCAAATAATCATAGACCTATAAAGATCATTCCAATTAGCAAAAGCACTCTAAGACTAAATCAGAAGATAAATATTGCAGGCAAAAGAACCTTGTATTCTGATCTAGCAATTGGAGCAATAACTCTTGTAGTATCTTTTGATGCACCCCTTGAGTTTAAGAAGTCAAGCACTTCGAAATTGGTAAGTGCTCCTGCGTTTGCCTTCACTCTGCAAATACCCAACACCAAATTTTTGACTACAAAAACAGAGAAGGAATCGAACAACAACATAATGGAAGATGGATTTATGAGATAGGCATACATTTTCATCTCTTAGGTTGAGCAGAGAGACTTTAACCACCAGAAGCTTTTTCTTCAACCAAACGAAATCGTTTAACAATATGGGAAGAGAACACAAACGATGCTCCAATATCAGAGGAGTTTTTGCTCCTGAAAATTCAATGGGAACATCAACATCAAGAACCAGATGATTCTTGTTCCCACAAATCAAGAATTCAATGGGAACATCAACATCAATAACGAGTACAAATCAAGATTATAATGAAAAATCGTCACTTTCAGTACTTAGACCATCTCCAATGACTATTTCAGACTAATTCAAGGGAAGAAACTAACATACCTCTCTTCTTTGACGGAAAGGATTAGAAGAGCTCCTTCGAGGTATGTATGATTCAGGCGGAGATGGAGACCACGATTTGCTCTACACGGTGGCGGCGAAGGAATAAAGTGAAACGGCGTCGTTATTTGCAAAACTAAAACCCTAGGCTAGTAGTGTTAAAACGGGCTACCCGGCCCGTTGAGGGCCTAACCCGTTTAGACCCGAGCCCATTTAGGCCCGTCTCACTTTTACCTGTTTTTTTTTTTTTTTTTTTTAGATGTAATCTGGTTTTAAAATTGATAAACTAAAATGTTAAGGCTAAAAACTTACATGAATATATCTCTAAAACATTAAACAATATTAAAAAAAAAAATTAAACAAGTGTTCATAAAACACCATGAATCAATGCACACAAACCATCCTACAAATCAATGCACACAAACCAAATCAATCACATGAATAAACCAACAGATAATATTCACATAAAGGGAGGTCTGAACTCAAATTCACTGGACTTTCTATGTAGGGGAAGGTTCTGGCTGAAAGTGAAAGAAAGTGGGCATATTATCAATGGCATGAATAGAACATAATACATATCAGATTTTGTAAAACCTGGACCTTATCTATCGATAAACAAGATAGACAATATGAAGAAGAAACGACAAAGAGCAAAGAGGATATAAATAAACTATTCAGCACCAAGAGAACATGATAAAAAAGGTTTATTCCAAAGAACAATCTGAACGGACACAAATGCAAACCAATGCAGAGTATAGTAACACAAAGAATCAGAATATTGGCCAAAGTCCCTAACGTAAGCAAACAAATCATAGTTTTTTAATCACTTGTAATGGATTAAGAAACAGAAATCATCGTATTCAGCAGTTTCAAAGTCCAATGTTCACCAGCACCATAAAGAAGATAACTAACATAACATTCCTCTACTCCTAACCCAATTAAATGAAGAAAAACAAGTCACTGAAGAGAAACTGTACACATAAGAGAAAGAAAAAAAACAAGCCAAATAATCCTACAAAGTATAATGAAAGAAGACACAGGAACTTGCAAAAGAATTGTTACCACGAAAAAAAAAACTTACAAAAGAAGACACATATATCTGCTTGAATATTTGCAGAGAGAAACCAAACATATCACATGATTAAAGAATATCTATACTAACGTTGAAGTACTAATCCATCTCATATCTATACAAACGTTCATGATACTAATCTCATTTCTATACTAACAATGGACTATATTTTACACAGATATCTTCTTCCTTCATATCTATACTAATCTCTAAAGTAAGCCAATTTTGCTCACAAACCCAAAAAACCCAAAATTCTGCTAAAATAACAAAGTTCACAAGAAGAAACGGATCCACAACAATCAATCTAATTTTGTCCAAAAAGAGAAAGATGCAAAGTGTGTTCTCCAAATGCTTCTCTATGATCACAGATTACAACAACTCTTAAACCAGTGACAAAACAAACACTAAACAAAAAAACCCAAATCGAATCCGAACGCACAAGTGATAAGAGAGAAGTAGTAAGTACCTGAATATAAGGAGTGAGAAGAGAAAGTTGCAATGCCCAAACGTAACTAAGCTACAATTCTTCTTCTTCAAGCTCTGATTAGAAACCCTCTTAAAATTCAAACTCACCGCAGATTCCACCAGAAAACTCAACTCAAGGAACACAACAACAAACCCATGTCAATTGTAGACATCAATCTCACCGGTTCAATCTCACCACTAACCTCACTCACTTCCCTCACGAACCTCACAGCTTTAAAGCTTCTTTTTTTATCACAAAACAAGAGATATAATCTCAAGTTTTCTGAAGAACCCAGAAGAAAGTCGTGAATTTGGCAGAAGGGTAACAACAATTGAAGAAAATTGAGAAGAAGCTATGGGAGCTGTTTCAATTTCAGATTATCAAAAACACACTCTCGTTGAGATCTTGGAGAGAGACGACCTAGTGCAACTCTAAACTATAAACGGGCCTGTACTTTTGAAGTCCGCGTAAAAATAAATTAAATAAACAATATTATGCAATACCCGTTTAGGCCCGCGGGCTTCAGGCCCGTTTTAACATCCCTGCAGCCTAGGCCATAAAAAAACTTAAGCTGGGCCTGTTTATGCCATAAAAAACATTATGTGTTATTGCTTCTACGGTCTTCTTTAGCTTCGTGGGCTTCAAAACCTAAATAAATGTCCCAATAGATATTATAACTTCCAAACGCTTAGATCATTTTTGTGGTGGCGTTTGCATTTACACTTTGCAAAAATTAACATAATTTTCGAAACTATGATTAAAAAAAAAAAAACTTCAAATGTAACATAAACAAAAAGTTTGAAATCTTTTTAAGAAGTAACTTCATAAATAACTAAGATGAAATAAATGATTTTGAGCATAAATTTATGTTTAAAATATATATATTTCAAAATTTTGTATTTTTAAGAAGAGTCTTATTACCTTTTTGAAAATCAATTTTTATATATTGTATGCGGCGTCTCGATGAACGACTTATATACCAATAGAAACCTAACTCTTATTTCTTAAGAAGAAAGAATAATTCAGTTTTAAGCAAATTAAAGGAATTAGGACACATGATTCTTGCTTTGGAGAAAAAATGTACTTGAAACATGTAAGCTAAGCTAACTAACTGCCTTTTTTAAAAAACCCCAATTTGGCAAGGCTCCTCTCATTTCCTTTAAAGCTCCTCATGCTTTCCACCCTTTCTTAAATCTCAATTTACATTTACTTATATTTTCGTACACATTTCTACAAAAAAATTTGGTTTGTTATATAAAGATCATCTTTTTGTTTTGTTTCAACATTTTTTCTTTCTTTTGTGTGTGTGTTTCTTCCCCTATTTTGCTGTCTTGCAAGAAATTTTGTAAACCCATGACAGGTACCAATCTCTTTCCCTTATTTTGTTTTCATTTGAAATTCTTGAGTTAGTACATTTTTCTTAATTATGGTTCCATTGAGAAACAAATGTGTTTGTTACTTTGAGCGTTATTTACTCAAATGCATCTTAGAACTAGTTAGTGCGATCCAATTTTTACAAAATAATATACAAAAAAAGTAACAATAACAATTACCAAAATACCGTCATATCTCTTTTTCTCTTATATATCGCTGTAACTACGCTAATTTATTGAGTGAGATTGATAAAGACAAATTATTACTGTTTATGTGAAATGTTTAAAAAATATATTTTTTTTTGTTTTTTTTTTTAATTCTGTGGTGCATGTTTTTAAGGGTTAAAAAGTTTAAAGTGAAAGAAAACTTGTGAGTTTGTTCATTAGATAATAGAGACAAAAGATGAAAAATTCTTAGAACTATGTGACTGTGTAGTGGAATTGAAAATGGAATGTAGTAGAAGAAATAGTAGTAACGTGAAGAGAACAGCAGTTTTGTTGCAAACGCGTTTACTTAGCGGCCAAGACGCGTCGCTGTCGTCTCTTGCACGCTCTTTTGGCTTCGTTTGCGACAGCTGTCTCTATGTCACACATGAATCCTCTTCTTAACCTACGTGACCGACCTGTAGCCTCACCTGTTTTTATTCTTAGCCAATATATATAACTACATTTTTTTCCTAAGAAATATAACTACATATAGCTAAACATTTCTAATTTTTGGAAACTCATTTTGGTGTTCAAAAGAAAAATTTAGTAACAAGTAAACCATAGTTAATCAGACATTTCCAAGTTGAAATTAAAATTAGGAATATGACAGCATTTCTCCTTTATGACAAATGTAAGAAAAATCCAAAAAATGAAGAAAAAAAAGACTACCGACAGAATTTGTTCCCCCACAACTCCCAAATCTTATTTTTTCCTTGTCTTTCGCTAATGCTACAATCAATTTGATTTAATTGGGAAAAAGTTTTCTTTAACAAAGCCATGAAAGCCGCTATTTGTTAGATTCTTAAAATAGATGCAAGAGATTTTATTAATTGACTCGATGATGTATGATACACATATTTGGTGAATGTAATAGTCATTATATGTCACATTTAAATTATCAATTTCTTTTTAAAAGTATATGCGTAAATAGCATTGGCTGTTGTATGACGAGACAACAGTCTTGCAACATTAGGCATCAAAATCTTTTGGAATTACCAATAAGCATTTCCCAAGGTTGGTCCACTAGTAATCGTATATTTTGGTTTATATATAATTTAAAGATTTTTTTCTTTCTTGTTTTTGTTCTTGTTTTTGGATTTACCAATAAGCATTCTGCCTTATTATGGCCCATTAAGAATTTTTGTTAATATATAAATCCTACTTTTTTTTCCTTATGAATATTTTATCGTATGCAACAAGCCATGCATTATCATCAACAAGAAAATCTAAACAAGTAAAACCCCACCAGAAATGGCTACCGACTTATTTCCCAAGAAAACAAACTTATCCCAAACATAAAATAGAACAATCCGTTTTATTCTCCAAAAGCTTATTGCTAAACATTTTTTTTTGTCAACATTATAATTCTTCTGTTTATATTCGCTATACAACTATAGTCTTCACACGCTAATTACTCTAGCTTCATTTACTTCAACTGTTCCTCATCGACGTGACCCATTTTCACCAACTTACCGTCCAAGTTTCAAACTCAAAAACATTCGTTCTAAAACATATAGAGGCTAAAATGTACAAAGTTCTTGAAAGCATTTAATATCGAAACTCAGAAGAACGAGAAAGGACCCTACACTGTGGTCTTTGCATGTAATCTCTGAAACCTCTTTAAAGTCTTTGGTTTCGGTTTTCAATGGGTCCCACTCTTTCACGCAGTCTCTGCCTTTGACCAAAAGCAACCTATCATTACATTTTTTTTAATTTACTTATATTAATAGGCCACAACAAAAGGTGTACCTTCATTAATTTCTCATTTGTCATTGACACATCAAAAATCTTTCAAAATCCAACGGTTCATAATTTCTCTAGAAAGCTCCCAAATATTTGCTTTGCACATAATTATTTTCTTTTTTTCACTTGGATTAAACTATTCAACAGATTTATTCCCTTTTTGAATGGTGGAAGTGGAACCATATATAACTCAACTAAACACAAACCATTTATGATTAATGTGCTCCTCCCAACATGGTATACACATATGATATACGTAACATATAGTGAAAGAAAAAAGGACACATAAACAATGCATACGTCCCAATGTCTGTTTGAGAGCGATTAGCTTTTGTATACTCCTTTTTGGGTATTTGCAAAAAGATTGAGACTCAACACAGAGATGCCTTATATTTTGTTTATTCACATCTTTATAGATTCTCTACCCTTATATATTCAACCATTTTATCCATGTAGAATACGTGTATACATATTCTCATGTAACAATGCATCAATTTGAGTATATGCCAAAAAGGAAAATTAAAATAATTGTCTTCCTTTCATGACATAAATCCTCACCCGATTGCCTCGAATCCATTACTTTTTTTTTTAATACGTGGGATTTCAAATTCTTAAGTGTAAAAAATTCAGTAGTGAAAATTAGGCTACATTATTACTGCATTGTTTGAACACCATCACTTATTTATTTATAAATTTGATTAATAATCTGTCTATAAAAATACTTGTCTTTCCTAAAGCAAAGAAGCAAAGAATCGTGTCCTCTTACACAATCACAGGCTTTTTGCATTTTTTTTGCAAGTATCATTTCTTTTCTTGGCTTCGAATTCAGCTCCCTCTTCTTCTTCTTTATTCACTTTCTTTCCCCTTTTTCTTTTATTTAAATATATACTATTCTTAAAAACAAATCTGATCAGATATATATGGTTTCTTCTTCTTTATGTGCAAGAAGAACACATGGTTTAAAGCTTCGAATCTCTCCCTTTGCTTCATCATATATCTAAATCATCCCACTCAAGATTTCAAATTCCCTAAATCTTCTTTTTTATAAATTCTTTCTCATTTATTGTCACATATTATTGAACCCTAATAAACCACACTGTCTTACTCTGTTTTTATTTCTTCTCTACTCTGTTTTTCTCCTTCAAACATTGAACAAAAACGTATCTCTTTTCTCTGAAAAACTGAAACTTTTTCAAAATGGCTTCATCGTCTTCATCATTGTTATCTCCATCTTCATATACAGAGTTAAAAGATGCTTGGCATCCATCAACAACAGCGAACACAACAGAATCAAGCTACTGGTTTAATTGGAGGGTTATGATCTGTTGTATATGGATGGCTATAGCGACTGTGATCACAGCTTTTCTTATATTTAAATACGAGGGCTTTCGTCGGAAACGCAGTGACGGTGGTGACGTCGACGGAGGAGAGAAAGAGTGGTCGGGAAATGTATATGAAGACGAGACATGGAGGCCTTGTCTTCGTAATATTCACCCAGCTTGGCTTCTTGCTTTTCGAGTTGTTGCCTTCTTCGTTCTTCTTGTTATGTTGATTGTTATTGGCCTTGTTGATGGACCTACCATCTTCTTCTACTACACACAGTAAGCTTTCTTTCTTGATACTTTTCTTGAATCGTTAGTGGGTGCTTAAAGATTTTGTAGGTTCTTGATAAAGTTTTTTGGTTTAGGGTTTTAGAAACGCCTTGTGGGTAATTGACGATTTGCAGGTTCAAACTCATAGATTCAAGAGTGTGACATTCTTGGTTTAGAATAAATTAAAACTTTTCTTGAATTTTTAATTGGGAAATTGAAGATTTTGCAGGTTCACTAGCATAGATACATTCTTGATTAAGAGTCAAATTGTCACATTCTTTGTTTAAGAAAAAAAATTGAAACATTATTGAATAGGTTAGTGGGAGATTAAAGATTTTTTAGCTTTACCAAGCATGTAGGGGCAAGAATGTGACATTCTGATTATGATAGAGGACAGCAACTGTTCTTGAATCCAATCTTTAGACCAAATTTTCTCTAACTGTCTCTAATGTTTTTTTCCTTGTCTCTGTTGTTTTGATTTGTAGGTGGACATTTGCTCTGATAACTCTCTATTTCGGAGTAATGTTCTGTCTCAAAACCTGATTACTTGGCTTATTAACTTATTTGTGACATTTCTCAAGTTTCTTACATTTTGATCTGATATCTTTTAACAGTTAGGCTCGCTTCTTTCGCTCCACGGATGTTACCAATACAACAAAAGAGCAGCAGGTGATAGAGTAGATAGCATTGAAGCCATAGACTCAGAGAGAGCAAGATCCAAAGGAGCTGATAATACTATTCAACAGAGCCAATACTCTAGTAATCCAGCTGGTTTTTGGGGATATGTTTTCCAGATAATCTTTCAGGTAATCAAGATCAAAATTCGTAATCATTCGCCATGATTATATCGAATTTTTATGAGTTCTTAATTGGATATCGCTTAAAACAGATGAATGCAGGTGCAGTTTTGCTCACTGACTGTGTCTTCTGGTTCATCATTGTTCCTTTCCTTGAGATCCATGATTATAGCCTCAATGTTGTAAGTAATTAAAATAATCTATATAGAATTTTTGATTCATTATAAGAAAACATTTGATGATCGATTCGTATGATCAAAATATTGCAGCTGGTGATCAACATGCACTCCCTTAACGCAATTTTCTTGCTTGGTGATGCTGCATTGAACTCTCTGGTAATATCTCAGATTCTAACAAATGAAACATATGTTCTTTGTAAATTATTTAGTTGATTATTATTTGATTTTTGAATTTTCATCATTACAGAGCTTTCCATGCTTCAGAATTGCTTACTTCTTCTTCTGGACAATAGCTTATGTTATATTCCAATGGGCCCTCCACTCCTTAGTCCATATATGGTAAATTTCATGCAAATTCTATTGATTACTTGGAAAAAAAAAACAGTAATCATTCTTAACTTTGATAGTAATCACTCCTCACTGTTTATTAATAGGTGGCCTTACCCATTCCTGGACTTATCATCACACTATGCTCCACTATGGTAACTTCAAAGCTTTAGAATGTTTTTTCAGTCTCCTTTGTTCGTTGGAAACTTTAGGGCTGATGGCATTCGAATGATGCGGCATTTGGTACAGGTACTTCTCAGTGGCAGTGATGCATTTGCCATGCTATGGAGCCTTTGCCTTGTTGGTGAAGCTTAAACATCGGCTACTACAACGATGGTTTCCAGAGTCTTACCAGAGTCCTCGGTAGTAGCTTGCAAAGCAAGCAACCACGTTTGATTGGAAGTTTTTCTAAAGTAGAAAGAATGATTTTTGAAAGATACAGAAGGAAAAAAAAAGTGTGGAGAAAACCAAACTCATGCTTATAAATATAATTAATTCTTTGCAGTATTTATTTAGCTGTCTTTTTAGAAGGAGAATAAAAAGAAAAATGTGGATCGAAAAATCGAAATTGCATCAAAGCCGAGTTTGGTTTGTGCAGAAGTTGAAAACGCCTTTGTATAAAAAAGCACTAATTTTATTTGGGCGTGAAAGTGGCCCAAGCCCAAAACATTAGAAATTAGTTCAATACTGAGTTTTGCTCAACGTGGATCACAGTCTTCTAGGGCTTCGTTACGTTCCTCTGTTTTTATTCTCTGCCGCTGCCTTTGGTTGATGTTGTGTGGGTTAGACAATACTCAAGTCTCTTAAACCTACGGTGAGTGTTTTGTTTAAGATATGGACAAGATCAGTGGGTAATCTGATGATGAATTGCTAGTGAAGATCTTATCGTTTCTTCCAACAAAAGAAGCGGTAACAACGAGTATTTTGTCGAAGCAATGGAAGTTTCTTAGGATGCGGGTGCCAAAACTTGAGTACGATGAAATGAGCATTTATTCTACACAATTTTACTTTCGATATTTGTTCTCTTACTCTAAGGAGATTGGTTACAGCGAAACCTATTCTATAGCGTCGGAAAGATGTCAGAGGATGTGGTGTTTTATTGACAAGAATCTGCCATTACATAGCTCTCCGGTCATGGAGAGCTTGCGTCTCAAGTTTCACAATGCACTATTTCAACCTGAAGATATCAAATTGTGGGTTGAAATTGCAGTTTCTCGTTGTGTTCAGGAGCCAAGTGTTGATTTTTATCCTTTCAAGGAAAACCCTAATGCATTACTGCCGAGTAGCTTGTATACTTGCAAATCACTTGTGACATTGAAACTAAGATACAACATTCTCGTGGATGTTCCTCATGTTTTTTCCCTCCCTTCCTTGAAAACTTTGTGCCTTGAACGTGTGACATACGCAGATGGAGAATCTCTTCAACGGCTTTTATCTAATTGCTCTGTTTTGGAAGATCTGGTTGTTGAACTATGTACAGGTGACAATGTGAGAAAGTTTGCTGTTATCATCCCGTCATTGCTTAGTTTATCCTTTTGGATGTCTGCTGGTCATTGTGCTGCTGAAGGGTATAGGATTGATACTCCTTCTTTGAAGTATATCAAAGCTACAGATTTAAGTAAAAGTTTCTCCGGGTTAATTGAGAATATGCCTAAGCTGGAGGAGGCTGATATCAGTGCTGGTCACGATATCAACAAGCTTCTTGAACTTGTCACATCTGTCAAGCGTCTTTCATTGCTCACACTAGTTGACGATGCAGAGGTAATTTTGAATCCGTTAATAATAACCAATCTCACTATATCTCTTAGATTACTAATTAAACCGTCCTTTGTACAGGCTCTCACCGCTGTATATGGTGATGATATTGTCTTTAATCAGCTTGAGCATCTGAATTTTCGTATCTATGGCGCATATTTAGGCATGCGACTTTGAGCCGAACGGTTAATTCGGGTTCGGTTCTTCGGTTTTTCGGTTTATTCGGAATTTGAAACCTATTCCGAATTGAACCGACTAATAATTCGGTTCGGTTCGGTTCGGAAACGGTTTAGTCGGTTTTTGTAATTCGGTTTAGTCGGTTTTCTACCAAAAAGAAGAAACTTAAAATTATTACAAATTCAGAGCATTCATCATGAATATACAACAACAACTCAATAACTTGACATAAATGAAATACAATAGATACATAAGATCTTCCAAAAAACAATTAACCTGAAAGGAATGACAAAAAACCAATGATCCATTACGCCTAAGTTACTATAGAGCATGGATGCATTTGGTATGTTGTCATTGTTCTCCTGACGCCAAAAGAGAAAGAGTTTGTTGTTCAAAAATCAAAAATAGAGAGAGAAAGAGACAAGCCTTTAAACCTTGAAGATCATATGTGTTTGTCGTCACCTTGTCTGTTAGGCAGAAAAATAAGAAAAAAACAAAACTGACTTGTTAATGAAAGACTAAAGTAAAAGATCGAGTGTACCTCAATTTCCAACTCCAATTCAAGGGCCAACTGATGATTGGGCATGAGTCTGTGAACCTACACAAGGCAAATGAAATGCAATTGAGTCTATAGTAAAAACCAAAAAAACTTAAAGACAGAATGATTACCTAAAGACTCATGAAACTCCAATTCTTCAAACATTTGAACCAAGTTTGCTAACTTCTCCTCATGAATGGTATTTCTAAGCCATTGTTGAGTGCAAATCAATGATTCAACCATGTGTGGTGACAAGCAACTTCGGAAAGGGTCCAAAATACGACCACTGGTGCTGAATGCAGACTCTGAAGCCACAGAGGAGACCTGAATGGCAAGCACATCTCTTGCTAACTCTGATAAGATTGGGAATTTAGAACTGTTCTTCCTCCACCAGCTTAAGACATCATAATCCAATCCCAAACCATTTGTAGTTCTTGGCACTTGTTTCTCAAGCAAGTAAATGTCAAGTTCACTACTAGCTTCTTCATTTGCAGTCTCTGCTACCATCTCAGAGTACAAAGAGTCCATCCTCTCATAACCATCATCATCTGCCAAATCAAACAAGGCACTTACATCGGCTGCTTCTCCTTGATCACTTCTTGTTGCACCACTATCACCTTGAGAAGAGGTGCTCAGCCTCACCACATACTCCTCATATAGCTTTTTCATCACACCCCTAATCCCTGATCTAAGATGATTAGCTTCCAGGCTATCTTTCCCATACAGCTTGTCAAAACAAAGACTTGCAAATTGCATTTTGTTCCTCGGATCAAAAACACTTGCAATAATCACAAGCGGATTCATGTTGATAAGACCATCCCAATACTTCTCAAATTTAGCCCTCATCGCCATAGCTTCTGTCTTCAATAGTGTATCACTGTTGGTGCTTAGATTGATCAAATTTCTCTCAATGGTCACAATCTCATTGTAGCAAATAGAGGATGTCACTGATTTAGATGCTGAAAAGGATAGAGTGCAATTGAAAAAGATTTTCAGAAACTTACATAACCTTTGCACTTCTTCCCAGCTAGCAAAAGTCGGAGGACCAATTCGTTTGCCAGCATCCTCATCATCATCACCAGCAGCCTCTCCATTTTCCTCATCCTTTTCCATGAAATACTCATTATACAATTTATCCTCAGCCAACATCTTATCAAATGCACCCCTAAACTTGATTGCGGCTGTGAGCATAAGATAGGTGGAATTCCACCTAGTGACAACATCGAGGCACAAGCTTCCTCTACTTGCATTTCCTGTCTCAACCCTTGATTTAAAAGACTTGAGTCTGTCACCCGATGACCTCACATACTTGATAGCATTTCTGATAGCCATTATACTATGATTAGCCTTTGCTAACCCATCTCTAACTATCAAATTTAGAATATGAGCACAGCAACGCATGTGAAGGTACTCACCACCTTTTACTAACGCATAAGGATCTCGCATAATCAAATCCTCTGTGAACAACCGTAAAGCTTTCTCATTTGCTTTTGCATTATCTACAGTGACTGTGAAGACCTTCTTGATGCCCCATTCATCTAGGCAGCCAATCAAATGTGATGCAATGGTATCTCCCTTGTGATCAAGGACAGGCTTGAACCAGATGATCCGTTTCTGCAATCTCCAATCTTTATCAATCCAGTGAGCTGTCACCACCATGTAACTACAAGAAGTTGTGGTAGCTACCCATATGTCTGATGTCAATGAGACTCTCTGTTTTTCCTTACCAAACAACTCCTTCAAATTAGCTTTCTCTTGCAAAAACATTGCATAACAATCTGTAGTGGCTGTCTTCCTGCAGTGAACCGTGTACATGGGGAGATTGTTTCCACAAAATCTCCTAAACCCCTCTGATTCCACAAATGCAAAAGGCAGCTCACAAAGCACTAACATCTCATTCACTGATCTTCTAAACAACCATTTATCATACTTGATTGCTGTCATTACACCACTGCTATCTCCAGCTAACACTTTCTGACTATCACTCTCATACATCTTGAATAACTTGCACCTTTTGATGTGCTTGGTCATAGCACTTGTTCCAGTTTTGACTGTGTCGCACCCAATCAGTTGGCCACAGTATCTACACTTGCTTAAAGCCAGATTGTCTTCTTGCTGAACGAAATGCTTCCACACAGGTGCTCTATGAGCTGGCCTTTTCCTCGGTTTGACTGCAAAACCAGAACTTGATCTCTGAGATTTGGTTCTTTTTCCTCCAACTGAAGAGGGAGGTGGACCATCTTCTTCTCTATCAATCTCTTGACCAAGATTGTCATCATTGTTGTTTTCTGATTCCGACTCCATCTGCGAATTAAAAGAACAAACAATCAGACAAGAGATTACATAATCAAATGAATAACAACACATAAAAACAAAATGCTCAAAGCCAACTCATATCTATAGTAACGTTCATGATTAAATATGTGAAGGTATAGTCAGAGAGACAAGAGATGTGTCAAACGCCACCGCCACCGCCACCGTCGGAGGAAGAAGGAGGGTGAAAGTGGAAGTGGGAATCGATGAGATACAGAAGAAGAAGAGAGAGAGAGAGTACCAGTGTAAGAGATAATGGCGAAACGAGAGATTAAAAGAGAGAGAACTTACAAAACAACTACAATCGAACACTGGTGATGAAGATCGAAGTCGAAGAACACACGGAGTAACGGATGATGAAGATCGAAGCTCAATATCTCGAGTTTCGCCGCCTGAGAGAGAGAGACTGCGATTAGGTTAGGGTTTATTTTTTTAACAACTAATGCCTGGTATAACGCTTATATACTTAGGGATAATTTTCGGGTAACCGTCGGTTATGTCTATTCCGAACCGAACCGAATGCATAACCGAACTAATTTTATAATCATTCCGATCGGTGCAAGTTTACAAATATGAACCGAACCGATTTGTCCAAATTCCGGTTCGGTTCGGTTCGGACAAATCGGTTCGGTTCAATATCCCAGGCCTACGCATATTGGTCCAAGTTGCTGTACTGGTTGCTCATAGCTTCTCCCAAACTACGAAACTTGGAGTTCAATGTAAGTTTCTTCGATAGAATATTATTTTTGTTCAAATTCAATGCATCTTACCCTATCATCTAACTCTTCTTCTTTAATCTAGGAAATTTTTTCACGTGATGGTGCTGTGGATACACTGGGTCGCTGGACCCAACTGAGTAGTGTTCCTCAATGCATGTTTGTTGTCGAGTCTCCAGACTTTCAAGTGGTCAGGTTACAATGTCTCCGTACAAGGGAAAGATCTGGCGACATATATCTTGGGAAAGTCTTGCCAGTTAAAGATTGCAACAATTTCCATTGGACAAGGGTTGGATCCACAAAAGAAGCTTAAGATAGAGACGAATGTGAAATGTTGTTTCCGTGGTTCACCCACATGCAAACTCGTATTCTATTGAGGATTCGAATCATTACATTTGAAAGAGATCTATATATCTTAAAGATTGTAATAATCTTGCAAATGACATCTTTGGAATTTGCTCTATTAAAGTTTTCGTTGCATTTAGTTTAGATGATTTTATGTGTTTCTTAACTCATTACGTGTTTAACAAAAAAATATATATTTAACTATTCAAAAGTAACTTCCTCCATTCCTTGAAAACTTCACAACTTCTTGGTTTTATGTGTTTCTTAACTCAAAACGAATAATCGCTTCGATTGCTTCTCACCTATCGCCATGCTCTGAAAGATCTGACTACTAAACGAGATGAGAATGACAATAATAACAATATGATGACTGATGAGAGATTGAGAGTGTTACTTGTTTCCCTTCCTTACAATTTTTACCTTATTTTTTTGGCAAGGTCGCAAAAGCCTGTAGGTCTTAACTATTGTAAGTCGAGCATGCTTGTCTATTCTTAAATCAACACCTGGAGCTATGGCTAGATGACTATTGGTTGAAGTTACTTGTCCTGTTGCTCAAAGGTTCTCCGAAACTGCGAATCCTCAAGAGTCCTTGGTAGTAGATTGCAACGCAAGAAACCACGTTTGATTGGAATTTTTTAAGTAGAAAGAATGATTTTTGAAAGATACAGAATGGAAAAAGGTGTGGAGCAACCAAACTCATGCTTATAAATATAACTAATCTTTTTGCAGTATTTATTTAGCTGTTTTTCAAGGAGGAGTTTGGTAGATATAAATAAGCATGAGGGAAGCATTACATTTTTGATAGATATATATTTTTTTTTTGTAAATATTTTGATATTTTTATAAACTCCTAGCTATTACTTTCTTCCCTTATATATAGACTCCATATCTTTATTATTGTCATCCATAATATTTTTAGTGTTTGTTTTCTTTCATAACTTAGATTATGAATACATATGTAGGATGTATTTTTATGTCTAAGAATATTAATGAAAATTATTTAACATAAAATTTTAAATTAAATAATATTAATATTATAATTGATGAGATACCCAATTGAAGGTATAAATTTAAGCTAAAGTTTTTAAAAAGTTTAAACAAAAATATTAATATTAAATTAGTGAGATTACCATATGGGTATATTTAAAAATTTGAGTCAATTTAGTAATGTAAGATCTTTTTGCTAGAATATTTAAAAATAAGATGCAAAATCTTTTTTTTTTTGGTATGAGCCAAACCTTATTTACCCAACCTGTAATATGTAATATGTATTTATTTATTTTTCTTCCCTTGTGCCTCTTGTAAGTTAGAGCCAAAGAGTGGTTTTTCCTTTTTTTTAATCGATCGAAAGAGGTTTAGAAAAATTGAAGATTTTCTAAGTGCTTTGTTCCGTTCCTTTATTTTTATCATTCTCTGGCTCTGCCTTTGGTTGATGTTGTTCTTCTATGTGGCTAAGACGGCTAAGACAAAACACAAGTCTCTATAACCTACGGTGAGGGTTTTGTTTAAGATATGGAAAAGATTACTGGATTTTCTGATGATGAATTGCTCGTGAAGATCTTATCTTTTCTTCCAACAAAATTTGCTATAACAACGAGTATTAATTTTGTCGAAGCAATGGAAGTTTCTTTGGATGCGGGTGCCAAAACTTGAGTACAATGAAATGAGCATTTATTCTACACAATTTTACTTTCGATATTTGTGTTCTGAGGAGGTGGGTGACAGCGAAACCTATCGTATAGCGTCGGAAAGATGCCAGAGGATGCGGTGTTTTATTGACAAGAATCTTCCATTACATAGCTCTCCGGTCATGGAGAGCTTGCGTCTCAGTTTTTTCACTGAGGTATTTCAACCTGAAGATATCAAACTGTGGGTTGAAATTGCAATTTCTCGTTGTGCTCAGGAGCTAAGCGTTAATTATTTTCCCAAGGGAAAACGTAATGCATTACTGCCGAAAAGCTTGTATACTTGCAAATCACTTGTGACATTGAAACTAAGATACAACATTCTCGTGGATGTTCCTCATGTTTTTTCCCTCCCTTCCTTGAAGACTTTGCACCTTGAACGTGTGACATACGCAGATGGAGAATCTCTTCAACGGCTTTTAACTAATTGCTCTGTTTTGGAGGATCTGCTTGTGGAACTATGTACAGGTGACAATGTGAGAAAGTTTGCTGTTATCATCCCGTCATTGCTTAGTTTATCCTTTGAGATATCTGCTCATTGTGCTGCTGAAGGGTATAGGATTGATACTCCTTCTTTAAAGTATTTCAAACTTACAGATTTAAGTAAAAGTTTATCCGGGTTGATTGGGAATATGCCTAAGCTGGAGGAGGCTGATATCACTGCTGGTCACAATATCAAGAAGCTTCTTGAACTTGTCACATCTGTCAAGCGTCTTTCATTGCACACAATAAACATCGGTAGAGAGGTAATTTGAATCCGTTGATGATCTTCAATCTCACTATATCTCTTAGATTACTAATTAAACCGTCCTATGCACAGGCTTTCACTGCTGTATATGGTGATGATATTGTCTTTAATCATCTTGAGTATCTGAAGTTTTGTATCAATGATGGCGTATATTGGTCCAAGTTACTTTACCGGTTGCTCATAGCTTCTCCCAAACTACGAAACTTGGAGTTCAATGTAAATTTCTTATAGAATATTATTTTTGTTTAAATTCAATATGCTTCGTGCCCTTTAATCTAACTCTTCTTCTTTAATCCAAGGAACAACTTTCAAATGACGGTGCGGACACATTGGTTTGCTGGAAACGACTGACTAGTGTTCCTCAATGTTTGTTGTCGAGTCTCCAAACTTTCAAGTGGTCAATCTACAATGTCTCTGTACAAGGGAAAGATCTGGCGACATATATATATCTTGGGAAATTCTTGCCAGTTAAAGATTGCAACAATTTCGATTGGACAAGGGTTGGATCCACAAAAGAAGCTTGAGATGGAGACGGAGGTGAAATTTTTGTTCCGTGGTTCACCCACATGCAACCTCGTATTCGAATGAGGATTCGACTCATTAGAATTAACAGAGATATATATCTTAACAATCTTGCAAAGGACATCTTTGGATTTGTTCTATTAAAGCTTTTGTTACATTTATTTTTAATTGATTTTATGTGTTGCTTAAGTCATTAAATTGTTTTAACAAAAAATTATATATTTAACTATTCAAAAGCAACTTCCTCCATTCCTTGAAAACTTCACAACTTGTTTGGTGTGAAATACTCAAAAACGAATAATCGCTTCGATTGCTTCTATCCATCGCCCTGTTCTGAAAGATCTGACTACTGAACGAGATGATAATGACAATATGATGAGAGTGTTACTTGTTTCCCTTCCTTACAATTGTTACCTTGTTTTTTAATTTTTTCTGGCAAGGCCTACAAAAGCCTGTAGGTCTTTTATTACACATCTTATTGATCTGTAATGAAGAGGTAATCATTTTCTATTTATCAACTTTAAGTTTTCAATCACATTATATGTTGTCGCGTGTGCAGTATGTGTATCATGTTGTCTTGTCTTAAATCAACATCTGGAGCTACCAGCTATGGATGATCGACTATTATTGGTTGAAGTTACTTGTCCTGTTTCTCAAAGGTTCTCCTAAACTGCTAATCCTCAGAGTCCTCGGTAGTAGATTGCAACGCAAGCAACCACGTTTGATTGGAAGTTTTTTAAGTAGAAAGAATGATTTTTGAAAGATACAGAATGAAAAAAAGTGTGGAACAACCAGAATGATTTTCTTTGAGATTTATGGTCTCTCGCAGCCCAAACGTGCAAAGATCTGAGCTAAGATCGCAATGCAAATTCCATGACATGAAATTTTAGAAAACCTAATATACTGAAGCTTGGGGGTTTTGTACGTTTTAAACACTCATTAAACAAAACCTAGTACGTGGTTGAAGTCTTAATACCACCAAATCAACATAGTGATTCATTCAGAAATTAAACTTGTAAAAAAAAGTAAAGAGAAACCCTATGGATGGTCCTTTAAGATGGTTGGAATATGCTTGCACTTTGACTTATCAAGTTCTTTCCTGAGTGCCTTCAGATCTTCATGATAGACCGGACACCGATCCACTCCATCCCCGCATGAGCAGTTTTTGAGGTTTGTCGATTTCTTGAGGCGTCGATTTTCCACGTCTTCGAGAATTAGCTCACGACGTTCCTCTAGAAGGTCCGGTAATATGCCGATGAGACAAAGCACAAACAAACCGATCGCTATAATGGCGCATACCAAATCCGCTGTATCCACCGTCAAAGCCATACTCTTCCTGATTCACAACAAAATTAATTCTAGCTTAAGGGTTTCTCAAATTTATTAGAAAATTATTTCAAGGAACAAAAAAAAACATGAGTTATCTTAGAAACTTGGAGAGGCAGGAAGTTATATATAATTTTTTTTTTTTTTTATATAATTAAGATTTGGATGACTTCAAATTTCTTCTGATGTGATACTGTTTTGGTTTTAGTCTCCTGAATTTGTAAGTTACAATCCTATCCCAACTCTAATTAAACCGACCCCTTATCAGATAATGAAAGAAGTATAGTAACCGACCCCATAGTAACATCACTCATGTATTTATAATTTATATTCAAAGGTTTGATTCAATGATGGATTCGTATTAATTGCTTACTATTTTAATGTTCTACTACTCTATTATTCTATTAGATATTGCTTTGCGTGGGATAATAACTAAAATTAGATTTCTTGTAAAAGTCTATTGATAAAACTAAAATTAAAATGTTGACAAAAAACAAGCTAAAATTATAATATCATTAACAAGGAAACGTAGAAGAAAATAATTATTAACTTACGAAGTAGCATACAATACAAATTAAATTCTAGCTATTTAGGGTTTCTAAAATTCAGAAAATATTTGAAGGGAAACAGAAAAACCTAAGATACTTGGACATGCAATAAGTTATATATAGTATATTTAAGATGACTTCGAATTTCTGCTGATACGATAAACTCAAGGACTAAAATATATTCCACAAAAATTAAGTTGCTGAAACAAAATAAAATTTATAATCTCTGTTCATAACCAAAACAAAAGAAAATCATAAAAAGGCTGTTTCTTTCAAAATTATTTAGTAAATCTTTTAAGTTGGGTGAACATGGATCGAATACTGTCGCATTTTGATAGACGTATAATATCGGAGAAAGCTCTGATATCTTCATGACAGATGCGGCAACAATGATCATCATCTCCAAGTTCGATGTCATCATCATCTTCTTCTTCTTCTTCTTCTTTCCAAAAGTACAATGAACATGTATCGACAAGGAGGTAGATATACAAAATAGCTGTGACGAAAAGAAAGTAATATGTCACCAGGTCTTCCACTGTCGTCATCTCTTCAATTCACTGGAATATTGGATAACAACAATATATAGTTTCTGTTAAATAAAAATGACACAACTAACGATATCTAGCTAGGGTTTACCAAAGGAATGTATTTTTAAAGGCACTCCGAAATTTTGTTTCTGTTTGGTTACAAGTTAAAACGCTAATTACGCAAAAAAAAAATAGCACTAATTTTGTTTGGGCTTGAAAGTGGCCCAAGCCCAAAATAGTAGAAACGTTGTTGGTCGATGAAATATCAAAAGCGTAGTGCTCTCTGCAATAACAAACACTGTTTCTTATTCTTCTTATTCCACTACGCTGCGCCGCTTTGTCTTTGTCGCAATCTCGTAAGCTTCCTCAGTCTTCTCTTAGTTCAATCATTAATCGTAAATCGTTTTCGTTGTTATTGATCTCTGTGATGTAGAACCCTAAATTTGTCGGGAACGATCTTTGAGTTCATTAGTGTCTATGAACAGATTTAATTAAATGACAAAGAATGTTCACAAGAGTGAGCTTCAAAGTTAGAAGTATTTTTGCAGTTTTTTTGTATGTAAAGTTGAAAACTTTGTTTGGTTTTTAGAAACTGTGGATCAAAATAACTGCTATGTAAAGTTGTTTTTTTTTTTCAAAGTCTATAATTTTACTATATAAGCTGATTGTGTTTCTTTATATTGAACAGAGTCATATGGAGAAAGACATGGCATTGATGGGAGACAAACTGATATTGAGAGGTTTGAAATTTTACGGTTTCCATGGAGCTATTCCTGAAGAGAAGACGCTTGGCCAGATGTTTATGCTTGATATAGATGCTTGGATGTGTCTCAAAAAGGCCGGTCTATCAGACAACTTAGCTGATTCAATCAGCTATGTCGACATTTACAAGTTAGTTTTTTTTACCAATACGAGAGAATTTGCTAGTGATATTACCAATCCATTTTTCTTGTGACCTCATCCAAAAATGGCAAGCTTTGCTTATATAACCTGAAAGTTGCCATCACTATCTGTGTCACTGAGTGATGCATTAATGTTGATATTACTCTATAACACGGATATGAAATGATTCTCTGAGATTGAAGATTTACAAAGGTTGTTTGAAGCCTCTCTTGTTTAATAGAATTTGTTGTGGAATGGAATGAATAATTTCAGCTTGGCAAAGGAAGTTGTAGAAGGATCATCAAGAAACCTTATGGAGAGAGTCGCAGGACTTATAGCTTCCAAAACTCTGGACACATTCCCTCAGATTACCGCTGTTCGAGTAAAGCTATGGAAGCCAAATGTTCCGCTTATTCAAAGCGGTCTCGATTATTTAGGGGTCGAGATTTTCAGAAATCGCGCAACTGAGTAACACGAAAAGAATCATTTGTATCCCAATTCTGTTGTTGCATACATGGAAATCTAATTTTTTCATTTCCAAAAGCTTATAACATGTCCAAGATTTTTTAAGAATTTTTCTGCTACAAAGTTTAAATAAGAGAGAGATTGGGGAATATTTCAGTATGGCAACATTTGAAGCCTCTCTTGTTTAATAGAATTTGTGCTCCAATTGTGTTTCTTTTGCAATTTTTATATGTACGGGGTCCTTTTAAAACAAAAATAAACATGAGGACCTCTAATGCAAAATGTGGAATCATTCTTCAGATGCTAGAAACTTCGAATCATGTTCAGATTCTTTCGAAGAGATAGAGAAAGAAGAACACGTGTTAAGACATTCCATGTTGCAGATATTACAGTCCGCTTTTGCTTTGAACCAAGACGTAAACTTTTCTCTTCTTTTACTTTTGTCTTTGTAAAATTCAATCACTGCAATTACCAAAGGTAAAAATTTTAACCCACAAATCTCTCCCTCCTCTTTCCATGATTGCTTTATGTTGTCGATTATGCAATTGGCAAGTTTAGTCATTGAGTTCTCTCATTAGCTTATAGTTGCACACCATGTGTTTGTATAAATGCCTGAGAGAGCTGCTTACTTATAAATTTCGTTCTTTCTATTGTATTTAACTGTTTGGACTTTTGAGATAGTTCTTTGATTTTGTTTAGGATCAAGAATATGACTTTTTGAGGGATTTTGCGGATGATGATGGCGCTTACTCAACTGGTTCCTTCCTCACCAGACAAGCTTTTCTTTTTCTCCAGCTTCTTCCTCCCTTCAATTCCTCTGGAGATTCGTACAAGTAACCTAAGTACTAGAACCAGTTCCAAGAAACTCGGAAGTCTGTCCTTGAATATCTCATGTTCAGCTCACAAGATTGTTCGGAGTCCATCTTTAGACAGACATGTAGTGAAGCAGAACAGAGTTCGGTTTGTGCAGAAGTTGAAGACTATACTTCTCTCGAAACCAAAGCATTTCATACCAATTCAAATCCTTTACAAATGCCGATCTTACCTCTGCATCGAAAATCCTCGGGCCATTCTCTCCATGATTCGTCGGTATCCTACAATCTTTGAACTTTTTACAACACCTACGCCACATTTGCCTATGAATGCCACAAAGCCGTTATCTCAACTCTGTGTCCGTTTGACATCTGCTGCATCATCCCTTGCCATGCAAGAATTGAATCTGAAGTCTGAGATCTCTGATCAATTGGCTACTAAGCTCCAGAAGCTACTAATGTTGTCATCTCACCGCAGGTTGCTTTTGTCTAAACTGGTTCACATCGCCCCGGATTTTGGCTTCCCTCCTAATTTCAGGTCTCGCCTCTGCAATGACTATCCTGACAAGTTCAAGACTGTGGATACTTCCTACGGAAGAGCACTTGAGCTTGTCTCGTGGGATCCCGAATTGGCAAACCAAATGCCATCTCCTGAAGTTGTTGATAGGGGTTTGATTGTTGATCGTCCTTTGAAGTTCAAGCGTTTGAATCTTCGGAAAGGTTTAAATTTGAAGAGGCGACACCAAAACTTCTTGATAAAATTTAGAGAATCACCTGATGTGTGTCCTTACAAAATGTCATCTGAAGATCTGGCAAGTGAGTCAATTGAGGCGGAGAAGCGAGCGTGCGCAGTTGTAAGAGAGGTGTTGGGGTTAACGGTTGAGAAAAGGACGTTGATTGATCATTTGACACATTTCAGGAAGGAGTTTGCTTTACCAAACAAGTTAAGAGCATTGATAGTCAGACATCCAGAGCTATTCTATGTGAGTATAAAAGGCACGAGGGACTCTGTGTTTCTCGTTGAAGCATACAACGACAATGGTGATCTTCTAGAGGAAGATGAGACATTGGTGATAAGAGAACGTTTGATAGATCTTATTCAAGAAGGAAAGAGAATTAGACGTGAACGGAGAAAAAAAGGCGATAAAAGAGTGGAAGAGTATAGCAATGGTGATAACAGAGATGAAACCATTGATGATTACGAAAGTGATCTGGATGATGAATATGAAGATGGCTTTGAGAATTTGTTTGACTCAGAAGATTCAGGTGTGGAATATCATTTCGACGAAGAAGAAGATGATGACGAGGCACGGGTTAATGGTGGAAGTATAGAGTATTGGAGTAGAAAGCTTTTTTCTTCTGGTAGTAACAGTGATGAAGCAAAGAGTGCTGTGGAATCATGGTGACGGAAAATTGTTAAAAAAACAGTAGACAGAAAACCCATCAACGTTTTGATATTGTATACTCAGAAAATTGTACGCAATTACACAATAACATATATGTGTATGCCCGTTGTCTTATTCCCACTGGCTTTAGAATCTAGAAGTGAATGGGCTTACGAAAGAATAAGAAGGAGAAGCCTTTTAACTAAACGAGCCCATTTAAGCTTTGAACGTTGTCGAAAGTCCCACATCGCTTAGAACAAAACAGGAAGCTGGTTTATATATCGTTAGAGTCGTAAAGGTGATTGTCCCTTCGGGGACATCCGATAAAATTGGAACGATACAGAGAAGATTAGCGTGGCTCCTGCGCAAGGATGACACGCATAAATCGAGAAATGGTCCAAATTTTATTTGCCAAAATTTATCAGGTCCATTTCTTCTTCCTCTGTTCTTCTGGGTTTCGATTCATCTTTTTTTTCCTGAATCAGAACTCAAGCTCTCGACAAAAACATGCTTATCATCTTTGTTTGATTCAAGTGTGGAACATCATTTCGATGAAGAAGATGATGACAAGACATGTTGTGTTAGTTGTGAAAGTGTAGAGTATTGGACATTTTGGACTAGAAAGCTTTCTTCTTCTCCTGGTAGTAACAGTGATGAAGCAAAAAGTCTAGTGAAATCATGGTGAAAGAAATTGTTATAAGATTACAAAAACTATCAACGTTGTGATATTATATATTTGATAATGGTTTGCAATTACACAATAACACAGTGTTTCTGTTCGCTATCTTATTCTCATTGGCTTCTGAAGCCAATTTAGCATACAAAACTGTGAGCGTTCCCTTTCTTATTTTCTCAACTGTTGTTCGAGTCTCTCAATGGCTGCGCCAACACCACTTGTAACCTCGCCGTGGTGGCTTGTGTCGTTATTTCCTTCATTTGCTTTCTTCATGAGCTTCAGTTGTAACCAACCTGTAGAATCAATGTGGATTTCACTTAGTTCTAGTCAGCTTTCCAATACTCTATCATTCTCTAAATATGGTAATAACTGGTAAGACATGTTTATGCAAGATGCAAAGGAATTACCAAGAGGGAAGCAGACTGTGGCTCCGAGAACTGAACCGAGCAACACATTCCGAGCACGCCAAGCAAGAGACCCCGGCACTGCCACATTTTGATCAGAGATAATGCTATGTTAGGACACAGAAAAGTTAACATCCTGAATCTAATAAGCCAAACATCCAAAAGAGAATGCAGAGAGTGGGATATGTATCAGTACTGATTAGCCCAAAAACTGCAGCAGTAGCTGAACCAGCTCCAACGACATTGAAAACATCATGGACTCCTCGCGTCTCAGCTAAAAAGTTCTGTAAACTGAAGAACGAGGCAGTGAACATTCCAAGGCGCATCCCTCCAATGAGGGAGCCGCGAGTTACTCGGATGAATCTTTTCTCCATAGCATCTCGCATCAATCTGTGTTGTTCACGCTTATCCTGTGTACTACCCATCTTCAACATCACTTCTGCATCCTTGCTCTGTTTGTTTCAAACCACAGACACTGATTTTAGCATAATAGATAAGATTCAGCTAAAAGTCTTAAACTTTGATATCTTATGAGTTCAGTCTAGTACCAGAAGTTACTAACATACACCAAGATAGTGGAATCGAAACTCAAATCTCAAGGACCAGTAACGAACTTGAATCTGAAATTGAAAACAGACATACCACAGAAGCAGAAGCTTCTTTGCTACCTCCATATAACAATCCTGCAAAGACCCCAACAACAGTTGCTGTTCCCCAGTTGGGATTTCCAGCTAATCTTGAAGAATTCTGTTTCATATAACACAACAAGCAATCAAATCACAAGTAAACTATGAACCACTCACTTTAAAACCCTAATTTTTATCTAGATTCTTAAAATGATAATCATAAAGAACACATATTTTGAAACCTTTGCTTCTAACGTTGATCTCATCACATAAGTGCAGTTTCAAGTAAATGATCCCGATTCGAATGATCTTATCCTATGCATTTGAACAATAAAACCCTAACCGGCTTGTATCTCAAGGAAAATCGTAGAGAGAGAACAAAAATCTCACCCCTGGGATAGTTTCTTCGGGTTTTTCTACTGCTTCCATAGATGACAGATCAAACAGTATCGAGTTTCCACTGTAAGCGAGAAAGAAGAATTTCCAATCTCCTTCTCCGCCGTAATCTCTTTCTCTTTCAGTCCATCTAAAGGTAGAAGACGACGGCCAGAGCGGTTTAATTAATTCATCGGCGATCAATCTGAACCGATCAGATTTACTTAACCCGGTTAAATTTGTCATAACCGGTCGATTAGACCAATTTATGTTTTCTTCTACGGAACGGCGTCGTGTTATTGTGTTCCTTTAAAACGCTTTATTTTTAGCCGCCGGGATAAAAATCGGTGACAAGAGCAGAGAGAGTCGCCATGGACGCAGCACATTGCTATCTCGAAGGAAACGCCGACGCTGTAGAATTTTGTCCTCACGAGCCTTACGCTAACTTGCTTGCAGCTTCTACTTACACACTCCAAGAAGGAGATTGCCCCTCTCGATCTGGGTCTGTGTATTTATTTGATGTCGGAGATGTGGAAGATGTTAGCTTGAATCTTATCCAGAAAATTGATACAGCCGGAGTGTTTGATATCCGGTGGAGTCGTGGTGGCGATGGAGGCGGAAGCGTGGCGCTTGCTCAGGCTGATGCTGATGGATGCTTGAGAGTTTACAAGATAGATGAGACTGAACTTAAAGGTACTGACTTTTTGATCTGGTAAGCTCATTAGAGTCGATGAACTTAGAAACTGCGGATTAAAACTTGTTCTTTTGAGCTGCTGATGATTTTAGCAAAACAAAGTCAGATTTTTTAATCAATTCGCTGAGTAATCTATTGAAACAAGATTGGAGCTTTAAGGCAATGGAATCGTGAAATGTGCAGAGTATAAATTGTTGGTCTCTTCTTAAGATGCATCTAAGTTTTTTTTTTTTTTTTTACCTTGTTGGTAATCTGAGTAAAGTTTTATCCTTTAAACAGGTTGTTCTCTGAGGGAAGTCTCTGGTGAAAAAATCAGCTCCTCAATGTGTCTTTGTTTGGATTGGGATCCATCATCGACATCAATTGTAGTTGGTTTATCAGATGGCTCTGCTTCAGTTGTTTCATTCACTGATTCTATGCTAGAAACAGTCCAAGAATGGAAAGGGCATGATTTTGAGGTTTGGACGGCCTCATTCGATCTCAACAATCCTAATTTGGTCTATACTGGATCAGACGATTGCAAGTTCAGCTGTTGGGATATCAGAGATAGTCCGGCTGACAATCGGGTTTTTCAGAAATCCAAAGTGCATACAATGGGTGTTTGCTGTATTTCCCCAAATCCAAGTGATCCTTACTCTATATTCACCGGAAGTTATGATGAAACACTAAGAGTTTGGGACACGAGGTCTGTTTCGAGACCTGTGAACGAAACATCGGTGTCTCTAGGCGGTGGAGTGTGGAGAATCAAGCACCATCCTTCTTTGAGCGGTGTTGTATTGGCAGCTTGTATGCATAATGGTTTTGCTGTAGCGAAGGTTAGTGATGGGAAAGGTGAAGTATTGGAGAGTTATAACAAGCATGATTCTCTTGCTTATGGAGCAGATTGGTACAGAGGGAAAGATCAGAAGCAAAGCGTTGTGGCAACTTGTTCGTTCTATGATCGGCTTCTTCGATTATGGATGCCAGAAACTGCATTTGAGCTCTGAAGTTCGGATATCAAATTGCTATTGTATGATTGTTGTTACCTAGATTGTCGAATTGCAAATTACTATTTTCTCACTAAGAGGTTCATGATTGGATTTGGAAACCAGCACATAGTCCTTAATTTACGTAGTTTCAGAAGCAAAATTCTTGCTATAACAACACCACCAATGTCCAGTGACCAGTGGTTCAGCGAAGGAGACTACCAATGTCCAGTGACCAGTGGTACAGCGAAGGAGACTAGAACAGTTTAGTCAAATCTTTATTCCATTAATCTAACCAAAGCTAGGGAGGTTTTGTGTAACAGAGTTAACAAAGAGAATGGCTATTTCTCTTTTATTTGCCAGTACATTTTCATGATCTAAACAGAATTATGAGAAATCCCGATACACCGGTTTCAGAGTTCATCAAAGCTTGGAAGGGACATTGGCAAGAGCACCAGCTTCAGTAAGGAGGGGCACAAGCTTGCCTTGCTTGTTAGTCTCCATCACTTCTGCAAAAACAAAGCAACCACACATCAACAGTTTAATTTTTCAGCTTCGATTTTCGACCTGAGTCTAAATTAAGATGCAGAGAGAGGTAGTCTAAATTTTTCTCTTACTATCGCTTCCACCTATATGTTTTCCTTTGATGAAGACGCTTGGAACTGTACTCTGACCAGTCCACTCTGACAAAGCCGACTGGATCTCACCTCCATCACCTGTTAAAGCAAATATCAGTTGCCTCGGGATAACAAGCATCGATATAATTTAGGTTCATCGAGGAGTATCATTATACAGGTATTGACATAGATATTGTTTCTTACTCATCTCATCGAGCTCAAGTACTTGAAAAGTTGCTCCTAGTTGTTGCAGCAATTGCTTTACCCTCTTGGAATAACCACAGTAAGTCTTGCTGGGGAGAGGAAAATTGTTCAAAAGTCAAAACTAAGACTGAACACTTCAAAAGTGACATCACGACCAACTCAAAAAGTGGAAAGAGAGTGAACTATATGAGAATCAAGATTCAAGATTCAAGAAGGCACATTTTCAATCCCCAGCTTCCCTGAGATAGGCTGCCAAAGTTGAAATTGGATGCAACACTCGACTCTACATCAATATTAGTCTATTATCGATAAATCCCCTTGACTCGATGATAATCTTGCCAGAAAAGTATTTTCTACAGTTTATCTTGCGTTCCTATGACTTTATTCAACTGAAGAAACTCTACAAAACAAGCCTACGACGATCCACCGGATTGGTTAATTAAACATCAGAAGACAACAAATGCATAATCACGAAAAGAAAAAAAAACCAGTTGAGAGATTTCCACGACTAAAAAACCTGAAGACAACGACCGGGTACGAGGAGACCATCTCTTTGGTCTTGTTCATCGCCATCTGCATCTCTTCCTTGCTCATCCGTTTTTCACTGACCAGAGAACCCAATTTTTTATCTTGGCGAAAGATTATACCTTTTAAGGATCTTGCCAGAAATCAGTCAAATGCAACTCTTACAGGTGTCTTCAGCTCAAGTTTCGTGCCAATCTTACTGACAAAAACCAGAAATCGAATTGGATCAAGCTCGAAGAACGGTTGTGTACATGCTGTTTACTTTTTCTATTAGACTCAAGTCAAATTGCTTTTTTTTTTTTCCACTAAAGAGCTTCGAGATATGATTATTGCTATAACCAAACAAAACAATGGCCAGTGGTTAAAGAGAAAGAAACTCGAGCAGTTTTTACTCAGATCAATTTTCCATTAACCAAACACACTTTGATGTTATCGTGCAAAACAGAGTTAAAAAAAGAGTCAACGACAAGGATCCTTCTTTATTTGGTTACATGAGAATACTTGTCTCATGATTAAAAGTTTTAAACATAACATTCTTCTTCATATACTTAATCTTCCAAGTCCTAAGACGCCTCATCAAAGCTGAGAAGAGTTATTTGCTATGGCACCAGCTTCAGTAAGTAGAGGCACAAGCTTGCCTTGCTTGTTACTCTCCATCACTTCTGCAAGACCCAAATGAACAGTTACTAATATTTTCTACCAGAATCTCATTAAGGTGTTGAGAGCTTGTTTAGTTTTCTCTTACTATCGCATCCACCGATATGTTTTCCTTTGATGAAGACGTTTGGAACAGTGCTCTGCCCAGTCCACTCTGATAGAGCTGCCTGGATCTCACCTCCATCACCTGTTAAGTAGCAGTAGTAAATTTGCATCAAAGATAATTCAAATTTCATAAGACATGTATTTGAGTTGACAGGCTTTGGTTCCTTACTCATCTCATCGAGCTCAAATACTTTAAAACTTGCTCCCAGTTGTGTCAACAACTGCTTCACCCTCTGGCAATAACCACAATAGGTCTTGCTGTGAAATAGAACATGGATCAGAGCTGGGATGTGAATCAAGTACTAGAACTCTATGGAAAAACTCGAGAACCTAGCAAGAACTAGATTGAGTCCGATTGTTAGAGAAAACTAGACAGGCTCTCTGCACACTAGTGAGATTCAGGTAAGAGATCTACGCCAAATAACTAGTTAAGCTCATTTTGAAGACTCCACAAGGCACATTTAAGCCCCCAAAATATTGGTTATAATAGGAGCTTGCACGAATCTATTCTCAACCTAGAAGCTTCATCTGCAACAGCAATTGATTTGCCCCTTAGTAAAAACCAGTAGACATTTAGTCATCTTACGATGATTGACCCAAAGTTGATGCAGTAGTGTATCTTCGACATCAATATATCTGTCTATGGAAACACAAAACAACCTGTGACCTAATTCTAATGAAGACAAAACGAGCAACCGACGATCCAACGGTATCTCTGCGTCAAAATAGCAGCAAAATCTCCAGAAACCCGACAAACACAGACGTAAAGACTCGAGCTTTCGGTTAATCAAAACCTCATTAGATGAGAGCAATACCCAAATTATCAAACGGAACACAACAAAATGAATAGTCACGGCAAAAAAAGGCGAAACACAGTTGAAAAAGACGGGAAATTTCAACGATTAAAACCTGAAGACAACGACTGGGTACGCGGAGACGATCTCTTTGGCCTTGTTCATCACCACCTCCATCTCTTCCTTATTCAATCGGTTTCCACTGAACATAGAACCCATTTCTTTTCTTCCCAAATGAGTATATATCTTTTAAAGGATCTATCGGAAATCTGACAGAACAACCACTACAGATGTCGTCAGCTTGAGTTTCGTGCCAATCTTGCTGGCAAAACCAGGAATTGATCTCTTTTTTTTTTTTTTTTTTTTTTTTTTTGAGCAAAAACCAGGAATTGATCTTAAAGCTCGAACTTTGTCGTCTACTTGAGAAAACAGAAAAAAATCACGGCGTTTACTTTTGGGAAAAAATCCGAAAAAACCGCCATCTATTTTTTTTTTGGCCGTTTAATACGCGTGTTATTAAAGTTGGAATAAAAATGCCTGGTTTAATTTCGGTTGTCTTTTAAAACCTTCGTTTTAAAAAAATTGGTAAAATCGTACCCCCGAGTTAACGACCGTTAACTTTGTTAACGGAAGCACTAACTGTGGTTAAAACTTAACCCATGGTGTTTACATATATATATATATATATACAATCTCTTTCAAAAATTTTACGAATATAATCTTAGTCAGGTGGTTAAGCATGGATTGACTAACCTACTGAACCTGGGTACGATCCTCCTTTCCTTCTATTTTAGACGTTTTTATTTTTTTTTTGAGAAAGGAAGAGATCTCCAAGAAGACTGGATCAAAGAGAAAAGGAGGCGAAATCAAAGGATCCTGAGGGAAGATACAAAGGAGATGCGAGAGATTGTTGATGTTGTTGTTGCTTCGGCTATGGCAGAGTGAAATTAGGGTTTTGGAAGAGAAAAGCCTACCATGATTTACAGGTCGATTTGATGTGAGAGATGTGAGGGTAAGGGACAAAGAAGAGAATCAGTCTCGCAAAATCTTTGAATAAGCCTGGAATTAAGGTTAAAATTGGATCGATTTGAGGCTTAGATTGAAGAAACGTGGGATGGAGATTCTGGGTTTGGTTTGAAGACTTCCTGAGGAGAAGAACCCCGCCAATCAGAACCAGATTCTTCACCACAAGGCCACAAGATTAGCTCCACCCATTCAAAGCTTGACTCCAGATCCGAATTCGACCCCGTGACCATAAACGCTTTTGATTGAGCCCAAATCTCCCATCTTTAGCATCAGTTGTTTCCCAGGAGCAGCAAGATTTCTCTGTCTGTGGGAAAAAAAAATTATAGAAAAAAATTAAAAACGTAAGAAAGAGACAAAGGGAGGCATCGAACCCAGGTGCAGAAGAGTAGTCAACCAACGTTTAACCACCTGACTAAGACAATATATTCGTAATGTTTAAAAAGAGATTGTATATATATATACGTAAACACTATGGGTTAAGTTTTAACCACAGTTAGTGCTTCCGTTAACAAAGTTAACGGTCGTTAACTCGGGGGTACGATTTTACCAATTTTTTTAAAACGAAGGTTTTAAAAGACAACCGAAATTAAACCAGGCATTTTTATTCCAACTTTAATAACACGCGTATTAAACGGCCAAAAAAAAAATAGATGGCGGTTTTTTCGGGTTTTTTCCCGTTTACTTTTTGAAGAAGAAAAGTCTTGACTTTTTTTTTTCCCCTTGATTTTAAAAACATTATCTATATTTTAGAATTTTATTCACATTCAATTTATGCAAGAATTATATGTGGTCTACTTGATAGCAAGTAAGAACCTTTGTTGTGTAAAGGCAAGATGGGAGGTTGTGTCTCTGTACAAATCTCATGTGATCAACTGATCAACAATGTCTGTAACTGCTTATGCAGAAAAAGAGATTATGTTCATGGCCTCGAGTACAATCTTGCGGCTCTGCAGTGAGCTCTCGAGGGGATTGAGCAGATACGAGAAGATCTGTTGAGAAAGATTGTGGTAGAAGAAAGAAGAGGTTTACAACGACCTTCTGTAGTGCAAGGATGGGTTTCAAAGGTTGAGGAGATCGTAACTCGAGTTAACGAATTACTTAAGATGAGATCTGTTCAAGTTCAAAGCTTGTGTCTTTGTGGGTATTGTTCCATGAATCTTGTATCTAGTTACCGTTATGGGAAAAGAGTAATGAAGATGATAGAGGAAGTTGAGAATCTTCGTTCTCAGGGAGATTTCACGATGGTGGCTGAGAGCGTTGTTGCAAATATAGTGGAAGAGAGGCCTACTAGACCTATGGTTGCTATTAGGCCTGGGCGTTTGGGTAAATGGTTCGGTTCTAGAACCGAACCATTCGGTTCTTAATATTTTGGTTCTGAAATTTAGGAACCATATTGGAACCAAATCAAAATCGGTTCGGTTCCGGTTCGGTTCCTCTACGGTTCGGTTCGGTTCGGGTAATAAATTTTGGAACCAAATTATTTCGGGTATTTTTGGAACCGAGAAAACAAAACAATCATAATACAATATTCAAATGCAATTAGGTAAGTATGCAATCACATATTAGTAAGCATACAATTACAAATCCAAAAAATATTCGAAACTTGGAAAGTGTTATGTCAAAAGACACCCAAAGTTTCAAAGATACCGAAAAGCACAAGTTTTTAAGACACCAAAATAACCCCAAGTTTAAATTTGTTTCAAATTACAATCTTCTGCTTCTTTTTCTCTCCAAAGATTATATCAAAAAACACCACAAAACCTGAAATAAAATGTACAAAAAAACTTTTAATACAATGAAATGAAATTTGAATCACAGAGAATAGAACTAGAGAAAGGAAAAAAAATGACCTGAATAGATACTAGAGTCCATCACCATCTTCTTAACAAAACGTGAGTCAGCTTAATTCCCTTCGCAACCAAACTCAAACTCTAAACATCAAAACAGACAATAATTAAGACACTTAGACTACATAGATTTACAAATATTCAAGAAAATTGACAAGAGATATTACCTTTCTCAAGCTTGTCTTGATCTTCAATTTCAGATATTACAAGGTTTATCTTTAGGTTTATGAAATATATATAGTGGGTTGTTGGGCATGGGTTTAGATTTAGGTTTGTATGGATTTGGGCTTTGGGATATATAGATATAGGTAAATGGATTATATTTTTCGGGTACCCATTTGGATCTCGGTTCTTACCCGAACCGAACCAATATCCATGGATCTGAAATTCAAGATCCAATCGATATTTTTATTAGAACCAGAACAGAACCATACCCATCAATTTCGGTTCGGTTCGGTTCGGTTCTATGTGGATCCATATTTGTGCCCAGGCCTAGTTGCTATAGAATCAATGCTTGAGAGTGCGTGGAACCGTCTAATGGAAGATGAGATTGGGATTCTTGGTCTTCATGGTATGGGCGGAGTAGGGAAAACTACACTTTTTAGTCATATCAACAATAGATTCTCTAGAGTTGGGGATGAGTTCGATATTTTTAGTTATATCCATAGGATCCAAGATGACATATTTTTGCTAATTGTCACTCCAAAAGACAATCTACGATTGTGAGCTTTATACAAAGATTTACAGATTTCTACTTTAGACAAACAAAAACAGAACACAATGATATACACTCAAAACAAACCAAAAACTTCTTTGTCTCATAGCCAGAAGTAAACGCATTGCCTGTTTTAATAAACATGCCAAATGTGTGTTAGTTGTAATCAACTACTAACTAAATTTTACCAGTCAAAAATCCGAATGCATATACCTCTTGAACAGAAATAATGGTTAGGTAGTAAATTCTCCATTGTATAATTCTTCTTTACTTGAGTTGATTGCACAAAACTTAGCTCCTCCTTCACTTCCTTCAGTTGAATAATCTCTTCTTGCTTAATCGCTCCACTAGTTTTTTAGAAAGTACATAACATCATTTGTATGACACAACAAATTTATAAGGCCCATTTAGCATGATTTCTCGCAAGTCACGAGTGTACTATTGGAGGTCCAAGCCCTAAATTCAGGCTAGAAGGATTTTTTTTTTTTTTTGTCGGTCAAATATTCTATTAGATAGAAGAAAGGTACAAGAGTTACAACGTAGCTAACTAGCTATTATACATAGAAACATATGATTAGGGAATCCAAGAAACAACAAACGGAGAACTTTTAATTCTAGCATTGCGAGCCAGCGTATCTGCTAGTTGGTTGGCTTTCCTGTTAATAAACTTAAATGTAAAAGAGTCATAAGGCAATAGGAGAATGTCCTGCATATATCCTTGAATTTCCTGGGACATCTGATAAAATTGGAACGATACAGAGAAGATTAGCATGGCTAGAAAGATTTAAGTTTTGTCTTTTTCAAAGAAAGGATTGAGAACGTAATTTCATTGTTTCACGTCGTGCGTGTTTTAAAAATAATGATTAAGAGAAATATTATTTTCGTGTTGATTATTAGAAGAACCAAAACATCGTAAATCTAAATTGAAAATAGTATTTATCTTTCAAATTTTTGTGGAAGTTTTGTTTAAATTCAACTCGTTATTTGACTATGTTAAATAGAAAATGAATTGCCATTTTATTATATTAAATATATATACATATATATAGTAATTGCTCCGAAACGACGACGTTTAGAGGGTGTTGGTATAAAAAAAAACCTTTGATGAAACCGCTTGCCTGAAATCTTCTCTCCTATCTCTTCCATTCCAATCTCCGCTCCTCTCCTCTCTATCTATCCGCTTGCCCCTTTCTTCTTTCCTCTAAAATTCCAATCTTTCTCATTGCTTTTTTGATTCCAAGCTTCAAGATTTTCAATAGGGTTCTTGCCCTTCTGCTTATTTGACAAATTCTGTTCCTTTCTTTCGTATTCTCACGGACGAACAAACCCCAGCTCATGATTGAGGTCGGTTCTTCTGCTCCTTTCCCACTCAATTTCTACGCAACTGTATTCTTATTTGCAATCTCTTCTAGGGATTTGGGTACTTTTTCTCGTGCGGTATATATCTTCTAATTGTTAAGGGAACAAAACCCAAGATTTTCCCGGTTTCTAATGGTTGCGCTTTAGATGTTATAGTTTAGTGTAATTTTATCTGATTTGGAGAATTGGGTGTTGGAGAAGTTTTTTTTTTTTTTTTTTTTTTGTAGCTGAGAGGATTGAAAAATTGAAAATTTATGAATTTGAGCTCATCTCTTAGTTTGGAATTTGCTCAGCTTCGTTCCTGTGTAGTAATTTTGTTGTGATTTGTCTATGGAATTGCATTTTAGTGTTCTATGGTCGCTACTTGTGATTTGATCATTTTTGGAGGTTACAATCATCTTATTTCATTCCTTTCTTCGGCCTCTAATTCAACTATCTTTCGAGATGGATTTTTGGACTTGATATTGTGGCAAGGTTGTTTGCCTATGATTTTCATATTGTTGCTACATATGCGATAGTCAGTTGGATAATTGAGGCTTAGATAGCCATTTGTAATCTGGCAATACCTATTTGTACTTTATAGTCCCGCTGTTATTGAGTAGCTAAAGTTGATTTTGTTTAAATGATTTGACAGATTTTGGCCTTTAAGTAAATGATTCACTGCTCAGCTAGAGACAATGGTGTTGGTAACCCATAAATTGCAGGTACGTTAAACATTGATCTCAAAAGTCCTAATTTCCGCTTGCTTTTGTATCTCTGTAATGGTCATGTCTGCTAATGGATGTACCTTCCGTTTCACTCTTGTAAAGCCTTCTTTTACTTGCCACTCTAGAAATATAGATGCTTACCTTCCCCATGTTATCTCATGTAGGGTTCACATGTCTTGTCTCCTTGGAGTTCACCAACATGGACCAGAGGCTTGATTTTAAAGAGACCTGTTACGACAGTGCACTTTGTTGAGAGGAAAGATAAGCATTTACGATTGAAGCAAAAATGTTGTTTTAGGTGAGTATCCCACTTCACAAGTGCCTGCTTAGGTTAGGTACTACTTAGTTTCAGACTCACCACTCTCTCTGTACTCTAGGAAGGTAGATACATAGTTATATTGTGGATTGAAATGTGCCTCTTTATACGCTGAGATCTATCTGTTAGCTAACATATTCCTTGTTAGATACTGAGACATAGGATCTGATGTACTCCTGAATAGGCTTATGATCATTTAGGAAACTATATAGATATGAAGTTATAGTTCATATATACTTCCCTTTGCAATTGATTTTCGGAATCATAAAATTTTGTGAAACTCTTTTGCAGTTTAGGGTCCTCTTGCAATGGTGGATTGAGGGCAAAACCTTTCAGAGTTACATCTTTTAAAGGTAGCATCAAAAATAATGAATCAGGAGGAAGTGAGGGTGGGAAGAAAGTTACTAATAACTCAGTCAAACTATCTTACCGTTCGGATGATGACGAAAATAATGTGAACGGCTCTCCAAAGGCACAAAACACTTCGCTTTCATATACCTCGGAAACAGAGGATTCAATCACAGGGCAACCTGCTATTCAGAAACTATTCAAGAAATGGTTAACATTGTTGCGCACACAATCACCTATTCAAGTGATTGACGAGGCTTTAGGAGGAGAACAGGTTCCACCAGCGACGAAGCAAGAAACTGAAACAGAAATCCGGAAAACAGAAAGCCTCCAGAGTACCAAAAATACAGTTTGGTCCTGGTTTTGGAGTCTAGACGCAGCTATCAAGATTCCATTGCTGTTATTGTAAGTATCAGAACCAAAGCATCTTTTTCTTTTGTTTGATGAGGTAGTCTAGAGTTAATTATCAATAGAGGAAAACCAATTAGATGTAAACTTATGATCAAAAACTGTCCTAAGGAAGATTCAAGAGTGTCATAGCCACTTATTTCTTTCTCAAGTTCCTTATATGTCTATTGATTATACTTTCACTTTGACCTTTTTGTAGTGTTCCAGCTTTCCTAGCTGTTAATGCGATCTATGGAGCTGAAGTTACAAAGGAATTATCCCCAATGTGGGTGGTCGGCCCCTTGATTGTCGCCCTTTATATCAAAATGTTCCAAGGACTATGCTCCCTTTACGCCTTCTGCTTCAACCAAACCATCAAAATGATAAGAAACTTACCATCGTATTACCTTGTAGCATACCATTACATTGCCCATGGAAAGCTCAAAGACGACGTGAAAGCTCTAGTGTTTAGACCAGTGGTGGCCATCAAGAACACAGACTACAAAGAGCTCACACGCACAAAGCTGAAACAGTTCCAAGAATGGATCATTGAGAGATACCTGGATTTTGTTGAATCTGTATGGCCTTATTACTGCAGAACTATCAGATTCCTGAAGAGGGCTAACCTGATTTGAAGATCTTCAACATGGAACCCCTCAGATTCTGACATTCTCAGGGCTTCTCTATGATCCCTCTCTGTGCTTTGTTTACCTTTTTTTTATTCTTAATTTTAGGAAGGCGTTTCATGTTTATGTTGTTGTCTCCATGTATACTGTTATCTTTTTTGAGGTTTTACAATGAGTTCTTTTACTATTAAGGGTATCCTTTTACTCCATACTTCAAATTATCTATACACATTTATATCGACATGTTTAGAGATACAACAACAGAAGAAACTACTAGTGTTTAAAGGTTTCTTATAACCTCTTTAGCTCCGGAAATTTGATGGTAATGTTTCTTCAGTAAAATACTCCTTTCTCACGGTCTCTGCTGAGCAAAACTTGACCTTCACATAAAGCAAACTATATGAATCCATCTAGTCCAGATCCTCTGAGCAAATCCGTAAATCAAACAGGACTCAAGCTTAACCACCCTATGTACTAAAAAGCTATTAATCCCGCAGCAAGATGAGGATAGCAATTGGAAATGATGCATTAAAACTTAGTAAGTTGGTATGGAAGTTACCAGAGAAGCGTATTGCTTCACCAACGGTTTGGTGAATTGCCAAATTGGCTGGAATATGAATGGAGCATCTACAAAAAGGACTTCATCCAATCGGCTTGGATAGTAATAGTAAAATACGTCAAACTGCACAAACAAAACAATGGAAAAGAAAACAAGAAGATCAAGACCATTCACCTGTAAGAAGATACAAAAACCATTCACCTTTAAGAATAAAGAAATACCAGGAAAGTCAAGAACTTAAGATCTGCGTTTTGAGATCCGAATCCACGGAGATCAAATATCCCGAGTATCTTGTGTTGTCCTGCTGGTAACTTACTTAAAGCCTTCTCAAGCAGGAACACACAAAGCTTTTCATCTTCTATTGGATCAAGTAGCTGCAAAACGCCAGACATTACACAAAACCTCAGTTATCGTAAAACTGCATTGCTGAAACTAAATTAAGAAATGGTGTCTAACTTGCCCCGGGGATGTGCTTTGCAGGAGCAACAATAACCACTGGTCGACCTTTAACATCTAGAAAACCATGGACAAAGGCTTTTCCTGTGTCAGTAGCGGCTTTGATAGAATCTTCAGAAAGCTCATCTACCTTGAACTCATGACGCCATTTCTAAGCTTTTAAGTAAAGGATCACATAGAAACCAAACCTTATTAATATTACCAAAACAAAGGCAACGTGTGATTAGATTCTACAGGTTCTGCATAAAAGTGAATTCTCAGGCAACTTTTCAAGATTACAGTGAAGAACTGATTGAAGATAAAAGAAAACACAAGGTAAGAGGATACAATAGCTTTAGTTAGCTTTCCAATAGCTTCATCAACAGAAAATCTCCGATCTTTCAAAAACCAGAGGATCATATCCTCATCATCTCTTCCATATTTGCCAACAGGGAGACTAGTACAATCTTTGGCAAGCCGTTCTTTTACTTCCAAAACTAGCTGCACCACAAACCAAACTTTCATTACACAATCCCTCTGAGAAGTCACATTCCATAGTCTAAACAATCAATTTAATGTTCTACATGATTTCTTCAATAACATTACATTTTCCAAAAAACCAAAAACTCCAAAGGAAGTTAATCTTTCCAAAGTTAAATCTTTAGTGAGTATTGTGGAACTCGAGAACCCAATTCTGAGACCACATAAGCAAAAAGACTAAGTTTTTATTTTATTTCTTAGACAGAGCTTCCAATGCCAACAATGGAGGAAAGCTTGACAAAAAGCAGAAAAAGTAAACACAAGAAGAAACCCATTGCGTAAAGAAATTAAAACAAGTAACGTCATCGTAACATTCATCCAATTTCCATGATTCTCTCTCGCTTTTTGGTAAAAGAGAAAAATACCTTGTGCGCATGATGGGATTCAGACACGCAACTTCGGACAGAGAATCTGCAGTTCCGGGATCGATTAATTTTCAAATTCTTCGAGCTTTTGAAATTGACTGAAGCAGCAACGAGGGTTGAACCGAAACGAATCGACATCGAGGACAAAGAAGTCAAAGTTTACTCTTTTAGAGTTTGATTCTCAGAAATTTGATTGATAAAGGAATTCAGAACTTGAAAGAAATTTCAAAAGCTGGGCTTTGCTCACCACAGAGCTAAGAATTCAGAATTTGGCATTTTGCGATTTATAGATGCAGAAGCTAAAGAGAAGCATATGCTTTTGCTTCACCTTTTTATAGAGACTCTTACACACGGGTACGGGTCTTTATCTGGGTTTGGATCCAGTTCAGGGTCTCGGATCCATCCTCTTTCAAACCCGGTTTAACGTCTGGATTGACTAGACCGACCCTAGAGTGGTATATCTACATTATAAACCTATATATTTAAAAAAAAAATCGATTTGTTTAGTTTGGTTAAAATTAAAGTTAGCAAATTAGGTATTTAATTTAATTTCTTTATATTTTACTCACTTGATATTCAGTGAGTAATATCTTGATATTCAGTCGGATATCTAGCCGTACTATAAAATTTGAAAATAAATTTAAAAATCTTAAAAATATAGAAAAAGTCAAAATTTCAACAAAATAAATTGCAATTTTTATAGATAAGATGATTTTCTTTCCTAATTTATAAAATTTGTGGTTTTCTTCTTTTTTAACGAATAATAATTTTTAGTAGCTCCTTTGTTCCGTAGAATTATGGAAATATATAATGTTGATTTGATAGTAATTTAGGGTATGATTTAACTTAGGAATAAATTGGTAATCTTTTACTTTTATATGATATTTATATATTAAATATTGATACTTTTACTTAAGTATGATTGATATGGAGGATCATATAAAAATAGTTAAAAATATTTTCTTAGACAGAAACTAATAATCTAGTCCTATTTATAGTCTCTAATTTATTTGGTACAAAATTTCGGAAAACTGCATATTAAAACGAATTTTGATATAAATCAGAAAATAATCAAAATTAGTGAGGTAGCATTCTAAATGAGGATTGCTTATTTTGGTATTAGATATATCATATATGATGTGATATGAAAGTTTTCAGTGTATATATATACCAGTAACTTTTTTCAAGCCAAATAAGTTGATTAAGAAGAAAAATGGAGAGCAAATGGAGTGTGGTGATGATGGTGTACTTCGTTTTTGTGGTGATTGCTGCCATTGGAGGAGAAGCAGAAGATCATCTTTCATGTGAAACGAAATGTGCAATCACCTGCAAAGATTCGATGTTCCCTAAAAAATGCTCAACCAAGTGTTTGGAAAGTTGTAGACGTTATCCACCTACTCAACTTCACACTCGCAGTACGTAGTAAATCTCTCTTTTTCTCTATAGAGTTATATTACGTGATATGATAGTTTTCATTGAGTATACCTATAATATTTTCAAGCCAATGGAGTGTGGTGGTGATGGTGTTCGTTTTTGTAGTGATGGCTGCTGCCATTGAAGGAGAAGTGAGTCTTGGATGTAGCTTTAAATGTGAAATACACTGCAAAACTCCGATCCCAACTACAGCTTGCTTCAAACGGTGCATTAGAGAGCGCTGCGAGCATCTTCCACCTACTAGTACCTTTCACTCAACTTCACACTCGCCGTAATATATCTCTCTCTATATACACAAATGTATGTATGTACTTGTGTGTGTGTGTGTGTGTGTCATAGACTCATCGTGAAATTGACATAGTTTCTGTGGTAATAATGCAGAATGATGACTAGAGGGATGGAAGAAATGAGAGGCTAAAGATCATTTCAAGAGTTGTCATAGTATAATATGTCCTTTCCTTTTCTTTCTATATGAGAAAAGAAGATTTAAATAAGATGAAGAAGAATAACAATAATAAGTTTTTTTAATGTCCACATAGTCATTCATTTAACTTTTGTTTTTATGGACCTAAATTCTCTTCTTCTTCTTTTAATGTCAATTTTCTCTGTAAAAGATTTTTTTATCACTTCCATATGCATATTTTAGAGTTCTAGAGTCAATGTTCAACACTTCACATATAAATGGCTCAGCATATATAAAACTCATAGTGTTAGCAGACTCGATAAAACGTTATGCTTTGTAGATCTGCTACAACAAATGTTATTGTATGCTTCATCGATCTTAACAGACCCCTCTCTTGCATTCTTAAAAGTTGAGTTTTATTTAAAGCCTTAAGGGACATTGTAAAGAAGAGAAGACAGAAATCACAGAGCACAAATAAAATGGTCCCAAAACAAAACAAAAGAAACAGAACAATAAAAATCTTTCTGACTTGAAAAAACAGAGCTTTTTCTTCATCACCTGAGAGGAATAAACCTGGTGGACCGACGGAAACAACCACAACCACAAATACGTGGTCTATAGTGATTAACCTTCTTGCAAGTTAACGAAAACTCCGCAAGATAATGACCAATCATCTCAGGCTTAATCACGATTTCATTAAACTTCTTTCCATTGTGAACTCCGACAACACTTCCAATCATCTCGGGGACAATGATCATGTTCCTTAGATGTGTTTTCACTACTTGAGGCTTCTTCTTGTTCTCATCACTTGCTTCTTTTTTCGCCCTCCGTAGCTTCTTGATCAGAATCAGAGGTTTCTTCTTTAATCCTCTATAGAATCTTCTGCGAACACGAGCGTTGAAGAGCTTAGCGAGATCAACGTTTGACATTTTGAGAAGAGCATCGACGTTGAATCCTCTGAATGAGAATTTCTTGAATGTTCTCTTCTTTGTCGCCACCGCCACGGCCGTGGCAAACTCTGATTCGTTGATCGCCATTGTTGGAGTTTGAGTTTTTCTGCAAAAGGATAAAATATGCCATTAGAGATTGGTGGTGTAGTGAGAATTCTTGTTGCTTCACTATTATTTATACAAAAAAATGTTGGGAGATATCGTAAATCTCGAGGATCGTCGGAAATATCGGAAAATATTAAAAATTGACCGAGTAAATGTAATATTTTGAAATATTATCAATTATTTAATGTTCCTTATCTTGTAATCTATTTATGGCTGTTACCAATTACCATCAACCATATGAAGATAATAACAAATAGTATTCCCTCTGTATTTGAAAAAATGTCGTTTCAACGGTTTTTGGGTGAATTAAGAAAAGGCACAGAATTACAAAACTAACCTTATGAGAAACGATTATTTACAATTATATTTTATATTTTTTAAATCAATTAAGAAAGGGCACAGAATTTTATGAAAATCGATTCGTATCTGTAGTTTTGGTAATTTAGACTGATTAATTATGATCAATTAATTGGGGGTAATTTAGGAAATTTTATGCAAAAATTGTTAAAATGACAACTAATTAAAAACACAGAAAAAATGCTAGAACGACATTTATTCAAATACGGAGGGAGTATTACATAATATATACACACAATTGATACATATATAATTCATTTCATTAAATTACCACAAAGGGTAGTTAGGTAGATAGCCAAATTTTAACTCAAAATTGATAAACAAATGAATCAGTGAAAAACTGTAAATAAGGAAATGATTTTTCGCGGGTAATTAAAGAACGGGTTAAGAATAACACGTCATTTAAAAATAAAAGCTTTAAATTAACATAGCATTAAAACTAACATAGTTATGTTTCAATATTACCATAACATCTCAGTCTCACTAAAAATAAAAATAATAGCACTAAAATTGGTTTTAAGAAAAAGGGTGATTAGATGACAAAAAAAAAAGGGTGATTTTTTACAGGAAAAATGAATTTGCGCCAATCATAGTCATGTGGACTAAAAATGACAACATTCAAACACTTGTGGATATTTACGCAGAAAAAAAATTATAAATCATAGTCATGTTTGCCATTTTGATTTTTCACCAAAATTGTTTTTAGTCATCTAAACAAAATTGCAGCATCTTTGGAATCACCGAATTATTGGGCCTTTGCAGCATCTTCAGAATCATCGAATTATCGGGCCCAAACACTTTAGGCCTAAATTGAATGTGTAATTGGACTATGTGTCTACTTTCATTTACAGCAAAGCAAATCCAAATCATGCCCACGAACAAGAGTAATAACCGGATCCGACCGGACTGGATACTGGATGTAATTCATGCATATGTCATGTCCGAGTTTTTGTTAAAACTAAATATCCATTTAATTTAATAATTCTAGTGAAATATATATGTTCATATGTTATGAGATAAATTAATTGTATACAATCAAATTCTTTCACATCATATATTTTCTTATTATTTCTATTAATATATGAATTTAAAGATAAGAAAGTAATTAAAAAAATCTAGAACTAAATGCTGTTGACAGAAAAAAAAAATCTACAAGTAAATGAAATTATTAATAATAAATATATTTTCTATATTAATTTTAAAAAATTATGCTATGTTAAGAATTAAATAAATTATTTGTGCAAATACATTAAAAATATATTTTTTAATTAAATTCTTAAACATCAATAGACCTTAAAATTTAAACGGAAAGAGTGTTTTGATTGTTTATTTGTTTGCATATGAAATATTCCGAACCATGTCTTCAAAATTACTTAGCTACTTTCATTCCATAAAAAAACACTCATTATTCAATCTAATTTATGTCTTTACCATTTGGCAATAAGCATGTACTATTTCGAGTCCAACTTGAGAGATGCACAAACAAATTGCTTGCCATATATATGCTTCATATACGTAGTATAAATATCAGTAGAAACCAATCTGGTTTGGTCATGTCATCTCTGTATCTCAATATATATATACAAGACCAAAGAATAAAGAAGAGATATGGAGAGGCATCTGGTGATGATAATGATTTTGGTGGTGATGGTAGCCATGGAAGTTGAAGCAGACGGATCATGTGAATCGAACTGTGTGATCCACTGCAGCGACATTTCATGGTACTCCAGAAAGATCTGCCAAAATCGTTGTCTGGTCGAGCAATGCAACAATCCACCTGAAACCACCAAATTTACATTCTCTGACTATGTGTACGCACATATATTCGTGATTGTGGCTATGTGTTATTCTAAGTTTTTATCTCTATATGTAGCGCACTGGACAAGGTTTATAATAACGAAATACAAGTTATTCGGGGATATAGATTATATAAAGAGGGATTAAATAAAAATGGGCATGTTTAAAGGCTTATCATGATGTAACTCTTTTCTTTTTATATATGTAAAAGAAAATCCAATAAGATCAATAAAAAGGCTATAGCCAAATGGTTTATCAAATTCATTGTATATACATGGGATGAACAAGTATTATATATGATCTAGATCTATATCATATCTACTATACATTTTTGCAGCAGTTTTTGGGGTACCCAAATCGGGTCAAATTTGTTTAATTTTGACCCGGAAATCTTCAATCGGATATTTCCTTAAATTTTGGCAAAATTAAAAAACGAAAATAATTAATAAAATCTAAAATATATATACTTTCTCAACTAATTACTATATTTAAACGCTTTATTTATGGTATATTCTCCACGATTTTTATAGATAAAGAAATTAAATATGATGATTTAATGCTAATATAACAAATTTGCACTAATTTCCTAAAACCTCTCTACCTAATTTAAACATAAATATATGATTCTTATTTCACTTTTATTTGATCTTATATTTATATTATTATAAAATATATAAATAGTTAGTAAATTTTAGTTTTTTTTTTTTCTGCATATATTACAATTCAAATTTTTTAAAACGGACATATATTACTCAATCGATGAATAAAAATATGTGTGTAATCTATATTAACATTTTTAAGAACAAATTGAGCATTTAATCATGTCGTTATTTTATTCAGACCCGAAATTGAGTCATTCGGATCTTTCTTTAATTTTTACAATTATCTAAAATGGGACAGTATATCACAGGTGAAATCCTAATTAGTATTTTAAGATACAATTATAAATTGTTTTTACGGGTTGGTCCAAAAACACACACTAATTTAAAAATATACATGGAAACTATTTGAAAGCAACTTTCAAATTAACTCGAATTATATGACATTTAAATAAAAGTGTTATTAAAAAAATAACAAAATGATGTTTAATTTCATTTTAGATTATATGGTTGGACGGGTTTGGGTCAATATTAATACGAGACAATATACCACAGGTGAAATCCTATCAAAAACAAATCAAAATACAATTATACAATCTTAAACACTAAACAAAACAAATACAACTTAAATTTTTTTATTTTAGATACAACGCATGTGACCCGCGGTATACAACAAAAAATATTATACACAATAAATTCATCAATTTATAAAAATAAAAAAATCAAATAATTAACCCGCGGTGTACCGCGGGTCATATCCTAGTCAAGAAGGTATTTTGAAGAACAAATCTGCTACTTTTGATTGAAAAACTAATGTTATATATGCTGTAAGAACCCTTTTTGAAAAGAGTATCCTGATCAATTTTGCTTGATATTCACTTCAATGATTTCTTTCATTTTTAAGATTTGTTAATTGTTATCTTCATCAAAATTCTACGTTTTCACGTAAGTAATATTATTATAGATTATGGATCCACATCAAAAGTAGTAGTTACATCTTTTTAATATTTTTTGATTATTCTACAAAAATTCTATTTAGGTAAAGTGTTTGGTTTATTAATTCAATTATCCAACTATTTTGTTGTTTCGGTATTTACGTTCAGTGCCGGTTCTATGCATGTGCTTAGAGTGCACTAGCATAGGGTCTTTTTTTTTTTTTGCTTTTTTCCTAAGACAAAAGGGTCCACTTTTTTTTTTTTTAACATGTACTAACAAAAAAAAAAAAAAATTTTAGCACAAGGTCCAACCAAAAGTTGAGCCGGGCCTGTTTACGTTACGTAACACAATATATTGTTATGTTAAGTAACTAATGAAACAATAAAATACTTTGATAATCAAACTATATGTGGAAAAAATTAAACGACACTTATAATAAAACAACGGGAGTAGTATATTAAAGTCGAATCAATATCTTAATAATTTTGATGATTAAATTGCAATAAATGAATCTTGATAACAAATTTGGTTTATAAATTATTAACATACCTTTTGATTTCATTACAAAGAGAGAGAGGAAAAAATCAGTCAAAATTTTATTACTCTATTGTTATTTTATCATTTCCATAAATCAAGGAATAGCCAAAAATTAGACATCATAGCAAAGACTTCATGAAATCAACAGAAACAAACAAATATTCGTCATTTCATTTCTATGTATTGAGATAATTTCCATTGAATGTGTACAAACATAAATGTCAAGGCCAAAGAAGAAGAAGAAGATATGGAGAACAAGTGGGGTGATGATGATAAAGATATTTCCTTTTCTTTTCTCTATTCATATATAAAGGAAAATCTAAGAAGATCAACAACAACAACAACAAAAACACATATTCATATGTTATGCTAAGAGATGGGAGAAAAAAGTATTGTGATGATTTATCATTTCAACAAGATCCTTTGGAGAACATATTTGCATCTTTGGATCTGCAAAACCACTGAGCTTTTGTAATAACTCTTTCGAAGAAACCTGATCCTCTTCCTCCATGTGAATCATTGCATAAGTTCTTCCCATGTCTCTGACCAATCTGAGAAACTGTGGATCCTCCAACGTTTCTCGCAAGTCCATATACACTTCCTCTGAAGTTACACCGCCTGCAGATATCATCGTCATCATGATTTTCCTTATAGTTGAGAGATTCAATAACAGATTTTGTGCCATTGCTGATGAACACGAATTCAGGGCTTTGTGTTTGTCAGAGTAAGATTGCAGTACAACCATGTTCCCCAAAGAGAACCGTGACATGAAGATGAAGAAGTCATTCAAATTCATTCCTGTAGAGGAGAAAAGAGAAGGGGTTAAAATGCGGATATTCATGTACATAGATCCAAAACTCTTAAGAATTTTCTTGAATATATTGATTATGCATTCATGAAAACACATTCAGTCAACACAAAGATTCAGTTATTCACTATGGCACAATGAGTTCTCCAAACATCCTACTTAGATAGTTGTATTCTCCGCAATAAATTCCTCAAAGATATTAAAAAATTTCACTCAAAAGATCTCAGATGAATAACCAGAAAGAAATGTAGAGCTTCAACTAACCCTGAGATAAATCGGGAAAAGAAAGATACGAATCTGTCAAATTGAGATAAGTTATGCATGCACCTGTGTTGGCAGCAAGATTACGTTGGCAGATAGCTTCAAAATCATCACAGATGTCTCTTATGTCTTCAATAGACTCTTCAGTGTCCTTGTAGTCCTTCCACAGCAGATCCCACTGAAACTCGAGTAGACATGAGTACTTCCTATTTTAGTTCAGTTCCATATTTCTCTATATAGAAAATTATAAAGATAAGTCGAAATGTCATTACCACCCAAGATAGGTTGTATGCGTTGAGCCAATTGTGGTTAATAGATATTGTGTCTTCCTGTAAAATATTTGAGATAATTCAATTCAATATAACATTGTTTCTGTATATATATAGAGAGAGGGAGTGAGAAGAGAGAGAGATACCAAGTTATATACTTGATGATGCCATCCACTCGGAACAAATATAATTTCACCGGGTTCTTGAATGCACTCAAGCCAGGTGGTCTGAAGGCAAACCATAAAACGCCCATAAACACATGGTGAAAGAATTATCTTAGAAATTGATAGTAGGACTAGCTGGTTTACCTTCTTAAAACCAGGGAATTTAGTTTCATTCACCTCTTCAAAGATGTCATAAATGCAATTTTTCATGTACCTAAAAACAAATCATCAAACTATAAGGCTAAGAAATATGGATCAGAGACAAATCAAAGAAACGTTACATGACCAATATAGGATAAGAACACCTGCCTGTCATAAACAAGATGACTTTGAAGAGGAGGAAGAAAAAGCCATCTTTTTTTACCACAGACATTAGCTGACCAACTATAAGATCTAAATACATCAGCGTGAAGAGGTGTCCAAGATCCTGCAGCCAAGGGATCATAAATTGTCAGCTTTTTCCAAAGGCCAAAACACTCAAGCAGACAAACAACACAAACAGTTTGTTTGAATCTTACTCATACCTTTTCCACCCATATAAACAAAACGATAATCAGAGCAGCTTATTTGATCATACTTGTGGAAATTATCTCTATCCTCATGCATTTGGTAACTGTCTAGATATATGTTAAGCCAATCATCAGAAAACAGTTGCGGCGTTTGATAAGCTGTATAGTCTGGATACTCCTGGATTCATTACAATCAACTCTCAGATTCTTTCCATAGAAATAGCATCGGTTCTCTGTTCGCTTCACTAAGAGAAAGAAAGTAACAAGCGTGTGAGTTAACCTCAGATATGCACCTTGACAAAGTGCCAATCTTTCAGATACAAAACAGAATCATTATTAGTCCATTGCTCCACAAATTCTGTAACAGACATTTCTAATCTTTTCTGATCTGTATATTCTCTTGTATCACAATCTGCAACCTGTAAAATAAACCAACACCAAATCGATGAAGAAACAACTCATTGCCAAACCAAAGAAAGAATCAATTTTTATTATTTCCTTCAACAATTTGGCTAAGCCATGGATTTTTTTACCTGAACTCTGGATTTTCCGAAGTGAGTGGCAAAGAAGTGGAGATTAGGGCGTCCATTCTCACTGACCCAATCTTCCCGAGCTCGCCAATCTTCAGTGAGATCAGAGATTATCAGTGGCTGGTTCTTGGCTAAGTATTTCTCTGCAAAATCGACGTAACTCAACTCTTTACCATTGATTCTCTCAATTTGACCTACAATCTCTATTCCCATGTTTCCCCAGTATCCGAAAGGTCTGCCTCTTCTGAGAATGAGAATCTCCGATCAAAGTCGCCGGTAAAGTTGCTGCAGATACAAAGCTCAGGCCGATGAACGACAGGTGAAGAACAAAAGAGACTCTCTAACTCCCATAGAGACTTCCAAATTAAACGCGGCGTTTAGTCAAAATATATAAAACGCTGCTTTTAAGGAAACTCACGGAAGGTTAAACGGCCCATTTATAGGCCCAATATTACCCACGTAGATCAAACGGTGACGTGTTGGGATTTTATTTCTTTGGGTCACTAATATTAATTAAATCACTAGGATATGACCCGCGGGTTAACTATTTGATTTTTTTATTTTTATAAATTGATGAATTTATTGTGTATAATATTTTTTGTTGTATACCGCGGGTCACATGCGTTGTATCTAAAATAAAAAATTTTAAGTTGTATTTGTTTTGTTTAGTGTTTAAGATTGTATAATTGTATTTTGATTTGTTATTTATAGGATTTCACCTGTGGTATATTGTCTCGTATTAATATTGACCCAAACCCGTCCAACCATATAATCTAAAATGAAATTAAACATCATTTTGTTATTTTTTTAATAACACTTTTATTTAAATGTCATATAATTCGAGTTAATTTGAAATTTGCTTTCAAATAGTTTCCATGTATATTTTTAAATTAGTGTATGTTTTTGGACCAACCCGTAAAAACAATTTATAATTGTATCTTAAAATACTAATTAGGATTTCACCCGTGATATACTGTCCCATTTTAGATAACTGTAAAAATTAAAGAAAGATCCGAATGACTCAATTTCGGGTCTGAATAAAATAACGACATGATTAAATGCTCAATTTGTTCTTAAAAATGTTAATATAGATTACACACATATTTTTATTCATCGATTGAGTAATATATGTCCGTTTTAAAAAATTTGAATTGTAACATGTGCAGAAAAAAAAAAAACTAAAATTTACTAACTATTTATATATTTTATAATAATTTAAAATAATATAAATATAAGATCAAATAAAAGTGAAATAAGAATCATATATTTATGTTTAAATTAGGTAGAGAGGTTTTAGGAAATTAGTGCAAATTTGTTATATTAGCATTAAATCATCATATTTGATTTCTTTATCTATAAAAATCGTGGAGAATATACCATAAATTAAGCGTTTAAATATAGTAATTAGTTGAGAAAGTATATATATTTTAGATTTTATTAATTATTTTCGTTTTTTAATTTTGCCAAAATTTAAGGAAAGATCCGATTGAAGATTTCCGGGTCAAAATTAAACAAATTGATCCGATTTGGTACCCCAAAACTGCTGCAAAAATGTATAGTAGATGACCATGTAATGCCAAATGGTCAATAATGTTTTTATGGTGTCCTGATCTCTCTTTGAAAAAGCCAGTCAAAATTATCACTTCCATATGCGTTTTTAGAGTTCTAAAGTCAATATTCAACACTTTTAACATTTTAATGACTTGACATGTGTTGACTTCATCATAATAATCACATAAAATTTAACACAATGATGAAGACAATGAGTTGGTGAACTTTTTTTTTATATATAGAGAGAATTAACTTCCACTAAATATTATATTACATTATATACATATACATATAAATTTTGTAAAGTAAGAAGAGAAATGGAGAAAAAATGGAGTGTGGTGATGATGATGTTGGTTTTGGTGGTGATGGCTGCCATTGGAGGAGAAGCAGTAGATCATTTATGTACATTCAAATGTGAAATCACTTGCCGCGATCCGGAGTTCATTACACCTTGCTTCAAAAAGTGTATGGCTGAATGCCAGCATCGTCCTCCATCTACAAGTACCCTTCACTCAATTTCACAGTCGCAGTAAATAATCTCTTTCTTAAAACTCTCTCTCTCTCTCTAGCTATAATTGTATATATGCATGCATGTACTTGTGTGTGTGTGTGTGTGTGTCGATAGTGAAATTGACATGGTTTCTATATGGTGATCAATAATGCAGGATGAAGACTAAAGCGATGGAAGAAACGAGAGGGTAGAGATATTTTAAGAATTTGTCGTGATGGATACTTTCTTTTCTTTTTTTCTTTTACATGTAAAAGATAATCTATAATAAGATGAATATTTGACGAAAAAAAAAATAAGATGAATATTAATAATAATATTAAGTTGCTTATAATTAAGAGTAATTACACTATATACCCTAAGAGCACAAAGTATTTAAGTCAAAAGAAAAGGGGTACGTTCGTAAATAATGGGTCTTTTAAAAACATGGAGAAAAGACAATAATATCTCTCAAATCAAACGCATCATTTGTTCTTATTTGCTTTCTTCTTCCTTCTTCTTTTCTTTCGCTTTCTCTCTATTCAATTCTTTGTTTATTTTATTTTTCTTTACTTTATGAAACACTTCATATGACTCTTTCTAATTTTCTTAAAATTGATTGTATCCTGAATGATATTCTAAATTCATTAAATTGATTAGATTTTTCTGATCAAAATGCATACCATGAACCTCATAGAACTCTCGATACCAAGATGTCACGAATGTGCTGTCGTTCGTTATTATTGAGCTTTTGTTAGAGATGATTTTGAGACACCGTCAACCGACGACGCTAAGAACAAATCTAGTTCTTGAGATATATTTATAAACCTTGATATATATTTATATAGCACAATATTTTAATATATATCGAGATATCATGATATATGTTATGATATATATTGATATATCATGAAATATCATGAAATATATTGTTATATCATGATATATAGTGATATATCATGATATATCTATAGTGATATATCATTTTTTTATATAGAATATTACGATGTATGATATATATTTATATATCACGATATTTTAACATATAACATATTATATATTGAGATATCATGATATATATAGATATATCATGAAATCTATTGTTATATCATGATATATAGTGAAATATCATATCATATCATGATATATAATGATATATCGGGAAATATAGTGATATATCTATAGAGATATATCATATGTAAACAACATTACTGAAATATTACGATGTAAGATATATATTCATGTATCCGATTAAAAATAAGATATCACGATACGTAATTGCATAGCAGAATATATTATCGATACATGCATTTAATAAGTGGTGGTCCACTACGGTTGCAACACACTATCTCTGCGAGCATTAAATAAGTGGGAGCCCACAGAATATTGCATGATATCCCTGTCCCCTACGAAATTCTCAGAGGAAAAACTCCCGCATTTTATTTCAGGGGTATTTTCGTCTTGTTTTTTTTAAAGCAAATATTTCTCTCTCTTGTTTTGCAAAGAAAAAAACTTGTGTATGCCACACCTAATTATTTTTTAAATAATTAGCATGCAACTAATTGACTCTATAATTAAGATGAATAGCCTCTAAAATAAAATAAAAATAAGGTGTTTTGGAGATTACATATGCTTATCTTTTGATATGCAAAATTAAGAGCTAGAAAAGGATTTGTTATAAAGAATCTTTTGGAAAGAATATAGCATAGTCCACTTGCTCCTTCTCTGAATCATTGAATGCAAGTTTGAATCGTTTAAAGGATATTCTAGTCTCCCCAAGCCTGTTGTATGTGGATGAATTACTCAGACGGGAGTCACGGGACAAATGCATGAATTACAGTTTGATCGGATGTTTATCTGAAGCTATCGTTATTTGTAATTGATTTTGCAACCGGCGATGGTGACAGATTCGTCGGAGAAGAAGCGGTGGAGAAGACTTGGATGTTGCGGTTGCTGCAACGTGGTCTCACTCTCATGTCCAAATGTTCGAGTTCGACTATAATGGCTCACTTTTCAATGAAGTCTTACTCAAGAAGTATCTCGGTTGTGTTAGCAAAATCTGTTCAGTGTGATCTAGTTATTAATGAAAGTGAAAGCAAAGTATGCCTGATAATTAAACCAGAAAAAAAGTGCCTGATAATCCGGTAAGTTAATTTAAAGGATTGTGTTTATAAAAAATTGTATATTCGTATATATTACAAAATACAAATTAACAATTAGTATAAAGTAAAATATTGTGTGTAAATCATATACTCTAAAACAGACTGGAAATTTTCTAGGATAATACAGAATAATTTTTTTCTTTTAAAGACAAATAAAAATATGTTTTATCAAAGGTAAAGAATCTGGTATTTAATTTGATTTTTTTCTATTTTATTCAATAATGTATATATATGTCACTTTATAAAACAAAATCAGTCAAAATAATTTTTATATTTCCATATGCATTTTGTAGAGTCCAAGTAAAGTCAGGAAAAAGTTTGAACACTTCACAAAGATTTGCTCACTTCATCTTTATAAATAGAGAGGGACTAGAGTTCCCAATAAATATATACATAAAATAATTGAAGCAAAAGAAATTGATTAGAAAGAGAGAGATATGGAGAACAAGTGGAGTGCTGTGATGATTTTGGTATTGGTGGTGATGGCTGCCATCAGTGGAGAAGCAGCGGATCAAGCAGCGGATCCATGCGCAGCAGTAGAGAAGAAATGTTTATCAGTCTGCCGCAAGAGGAGTCGTAACGAGGGAATACTGGCTACTTGCGTCATATTTTGTGTGATAACAGAATGCAAGGCTTTTCCACTTCCACCTACTAGTGCCTTTTACTCTGCTTTACATTCGCAGTAACTCTGTCTCTCTCTCACTCTCTATCTCTATTTATATGTGTGTGTATAGTGAAATTGTGTATAGTGAAATTGAGATGGTTTCTATGGTGATAATGCAGGAGGAAGACTATAGCGGATTGGATCAAGAATGAAGCATAGAGATAGTTTCCAAATTTTTATGATGGAATCTTTTATTTTCTTTTCTTTCTACATGTTTTAAGAAAATATAAAATAAGATTTTTTTAAAAAAAGTTTTTCATATTCATGCGAAATTTGGATCAACAATTATTATATGATTTTAACAAGGTGTTTTGAAGAACACAGAGGCATCGTCTATTGATTTGGAAAACAAGTGATTCGTTGTAAACTAGTAATGAATCATTAGAAAAAGAGTTCCGTAGCTTCTGAAGTCATTACTAGTCTCTTTTTGGTTCAACTCTCGTCTCTCGGTTCAAAATATTTGGTTTGATTCAGTTCTGTCCAATTTATATACCCATCCCGACACAAGATGATTGAAGGCTACACATGGAAACATAAGATCTTTTATCTAAGTACGAATTCATTTTTCAACAAGGTCAATAGATGTGTTCTGGAGAACATATCTATTAACACATCTATATATTGATATACAAAAACAAGTGATATGTTAATTGTTATGATAAATCTTTTGGAAAGGCGCATAGTTCTGTTGCTTCTTCTGAAGCATTGTATAATTTGAATCGTTTAATATACATATGATCTTTTTCTAAGGATGATAATCTCCGAACAAGTGGCCGGAGAAGTTCAAGTACTTTAAGTCGACGAGAGATACAATACATAAACAAAACGCTGCGTTTAGGGCGACTCTATATATAAACTGTACGGCCCATGATGTGTGAGGATGATATTGATGAACAACAACGCAGGGAATTGACGAACAATGTCATTTTGTTGTTTAAATCTAGTGCATGAGTTTAATTCACATTCGTTTAATAGATGCAAACAATCGGACTCATGAATTTTTATTCACATCGCCCTGTGGAGATGACTTCTACACACGTTAGTAAATCTTGTTGTAGCATAACGACCACAGTTCATAAGTGTTTACAGGTCTCTCTTGTAACAGCTACTCTGTTTTCAATCCCCTGTCTTATATAAATTCTCTTAGCTAAGACTACAACGAGACAACAAAAAGCTAAACAAAAATCAGTTTGGTCTGATCTGGTTATTGTAAGCATAATTTATTGTAAATGAAAGTGCAAGGAAAGTCTAATTACATTCATCAAGTTTGGACTCAAAACGGTGATGCCCGATAATCCAGTGAGTCAAAAGAATGGCCCAATTACGTTTCCCATGATAAAATTTATTTGTGATAGCGTGTGATGATCCATATATATGAACAAATGTTTTACCAAAATAGGTTTGTTTGAATCAATCTAATAAAGTTGTTGACAATAAAAAAGAAAAACAAAATTTAGTACAGTACAAATTAAAAGAAAAAATCTTTTAAAGAAAAATAAAAAAATATACTTTTCACTAAAGGTAGAAAATCTGGTATTTAATTTGATTTGTTTCTATTTTATTCAATAATTTAATGTATTATCAGTCAAAATAATTTATATGTTTCCATATGAATTTTTATAGAATACAAAAGATTTAACGGAAACGACAAGAGAACAGATTTGGTCATTTCACATATAAATAGAGAGCTTCCATCGAATATATACACATATCTAACTGTTGAAGCAAAAGAAATCGATTAAGAAGAGAGAAATGGAGAACAAGTACATGAGTGTTGTGATGATTTTGGTTTTGGTGGTGATGGCTGCCATTGGAGGAGAAGCAGTGCCAGTAGATCCTTTATGTGAACAGAAATGTAGATCAGCCTGCCGCAGCGGCCACGGTTTCAGCACCCTTCCGGAGTGCTACACAGACTGTGTTCGAAGGCAATGCTTTCCACCTACGTATGTATATAATACTTGTGTGTGTGTGTTTCTATGACTATATGTGTATGTATGTATATAGTGAAATTGACATGGTTTCTATGGTAATTTTAATGCAGGATGGAGACTTAGATGGATGGAAGGATGAAAGCATAGAGATAGTTTCGAACTTTTTCATGATGTAATCTTTCATTTCCTTTTCTTTCTATATGTTTAAGAAAATAAATATTAACATGAATAATAAAAGTTTCTCATATTCATATTAAAAATGGGATGAACAAGTATTGGAGAATGGAGAACATATATATATATATATATATAGAGTCATCTACTGATTTTGATGAAGCGGAAGTTTCTAGGGATAGAACTAGATCCGTTGATTCTGAGAATACCCGGAAACTAGGGTTTGAGAGTTCTCCTCTCAGGGCTTTCGCAAAAGCTCTTAGGGTATGTGAATACTCTTGACAGTGGTTTATAAAAACCTCTTTAAATCTTTCGATTAATCAATTCAATAACAACTTCATACAATAGGAGGCCTAAGAAAGCTATATATAATAAAAGCATAAAACCCTCATAGAATATTCTAGAATAATTATAATTAATAAATTAAAAGATAATAGAAATAGATATTCCAAATATCTCGCTGCATCAGGTTTGCAAAACAATGATTTGTTGTAAACTTGTAATGAATCATTTGAATTTAGTTGGAGAACATAGAGGCATCTACTACGTACGTTTAGGGAGAGTTAAAAGAATTAAAGTGAAAGCTTTCTGTTTACTTCCGTAATGGTTCAAGCAAATACTAAGCAGATGTTGATATAAAGATTTTGACAACAATTTGTTGTTTGATTTTCATCTTATCTTTTTTATATTCACACTGGTTTTCAGTATTGTATACAATTAGAATTTAATTCCTTAAAATTTTGGGAGAAGTAATTAATTTTTAAGTTCACAAGAAAGATCTACCTAAAACATTAAATTATTTATTTTAGAGACGTCTTTTTTTGTATTATCATTCTTTTAGATTAGTTTGCCAGAAGTATATAATGGTTCCGAAGCATGTAATATCATTCTTTTAAATATTTTTCAAAACCACACAAAAAGAAAAAGTTTAGGCCTGGTTTCGTAAATGCTTCAGAACCATTTCAAAATAATTTCAGATCCTTTTCTAAACGTTTTTGTTTTGGCATAAATGTCTTTACATCAACGTCAGCCAAATAGTATAATATTTTTATTATTATTTTTTTTATTTTTTTTACCAAAAAAAATAAAAAATAAAAATATTATACTATTTGCTTTTAAAACCATATAGATTTCGTCAAGTGTGTCGGTTGCATTCAGTAATGCATCTCAACTGAGAATTGCATTTGCCTTTTCTTTATAATTCAGTCAAAAGATTAGTCAAACAAAACTCTATTAATCACTAATCATTATCATCCCTTCTCATGAAACTGCTAACCAATTTTAAATTATTATGGAAACTCACTTCATATATATATATATTCTTTTAGAAATCTAACTGGACCTCTTTCAAAATCCTGAGATTCTCGTTTGTTTCTATCAATCAATCCTTTTTCAGGTTTTGTTCAATGCATGCGGGCTTTAACAATCATGATTATTATTATATTTTCCATTTTAGTATAATTATTGGTATATGACACGATGGCTGGAATAGTTGGGAATTCAGATCGTATGAATCCTGAATAGTGCTTATGATTGACAAAAGAGATCCCAATAATTGCTGCCATGATTTCATTTCAAAGGCATGCATATAATAAATAGCAACAACAACAACGATACATTAGTGGACTAGTGGCATTGTTTTTTTAATATACCAGTAATGAATAAGGAAGTAGTTGATCTACATGACTAATTAATTAAGAACATATATTTTAGCTTTTTCATTCACCATGTTAGTTATAATTAGCAGTTTTTTATACTGACTTTTGTTTGATATTGTATGAATCCTTTCATAACCCTTTAAGCATTCAAAACATTCTTATATCGATTTTTCAGTTGTTGAAAAACATGCATTATGGATTGGAAGTATAGAGTTTGAGTTATGTCACTATAATTCTAATTAGTTACTCTAGATGCCTTAAATTGCAAAAAAATTTGGTGCTCCATATACTTTGTTGTAGGAGTATCCCTTTACATTCGTATATATCCACATAGTTTTGTCAAATTTTCAAACAAAACTAATTTAAAAACCTTACTGATCTGACATATATCCACTATTGAGTATGGAATATATAAGAAACCAGATAGCCTAGCTAGTGTTTCTTTCTTTTATCGACCATAAATCAGTATGGAATAGAGAAAATACCGTTTTGCAACAAAAAAAAATATTGTTTAGCGAAATTAAAATCTTGCAACAAAACAATGATCTTTTATATATTGCTGTGAACATTATGTGAGAAAATTATAATATGAAACTAAAAAGAAACATAATCCAATTCCAATCTCAACCCACTATTATTAGAATCTATCAAGACAATGGCCGGCGGTTATAAGGCTATTAATTTATTCAATCATTATTGAATCCTAATATTCTTGCAAACCAATGATCATATATTAAACCCTTTATCAAAAAATAATCATATATTATCAAATGCTACCAACTATTACAAATACAAACTGTAAAATATGGGGGCTCACCTTAATCTATCGTATATATGATATTTTTGTGAAAAATATACAACTCTTTTCATAGTTTTTATTAGTTGATAATGTATGTATTAATCAGAACAATCTGAGTCGAACTCGACTCTGTTCACGAAAGAATGTTCCACTCTGTTTTACATTGTCTATATAATTATTAATATTTTACTTTATTTGATATTAATATTTTACTTTAACTCTCATCTAAAACATTTTATTAGAGTTAGTCCAATCATGATCCAAAATTTCAGATAATGACTAAAATATTAAACGAACAATAGCGAGGTCCGGTTCAAAGCCAAGGAGGACTAATCTGAAAACCGTTGGGTATGAAAAGATTGGCTTTAATCCTCGGACTTCGAATTTTAACTCTAATTGAAACTCAATTCTCTTTGCTTTTAGATATATCTATTCAGCTTTTTCTGATTAATAATCGTAAAAAGTAGCAAAGGACCCGCAATATAATGTAAAAATAAATTGTCTTGTTGGGTTTTGTAGTTTAGCTCAAAGGCAGAAACTCAGAGTTTGCTTCCTTTTCACGTCTTTAAAGACATCGATTGATTGATGGGTTTGATGGATTCTCGATGACTTCCTATTATTTTCTCCGCGACAATATCCAAAGTTTTTTCCCAATATTTTTAAAATATATAAATACAATATCCGTCGGCATAATTTTATGATACATGCATGATGCATGAACATATGCACTCTTTTCCCACTGTAAGATCATTTTAATTGAACCCTTTTTTTTATCAATTATTTGTTGTCCAAATATAAGAGCATGTACCTTTATCTTGATGATACAAAGTTTCTTAGTAGCAGCTTTAATTCATATGTTATTCTTCTTTCTTCTTTTTATTATAAATGGATTCATAGTTTACCATTTTCAGTATAATTAAGTATCCTGTAAGATCACTTATCATATTTGTATCAGCTATCTTTTTTTAATAGTCATATTCGACATATTCAATTTAACACATATATGTTTGATGTTTAACGAGTATGGAGATGCTTTCAAGACTGTAGGCCTTAAATTTGCATATGGTGAACTCAAACTAAAGTTAACTGTGTCATGAAATGAAATACTAGGATGAAAACTGAAAGGATATGTAAATGGCAGAGTTGTTTTAATTTTTGGCTATGGTGAATCTATGTTTGGGCCTAGATAGATAAAAAAAGAGTGCAAACTAAATTATGGGCTTAAATATAGAGTTACATGTTATAACATGTCAAATTAGCTAGATTTGGCAAAAAAAGAAGAAGGAGGTTAACTATGTTACTAATTATGTATTTTGACAAATTACGTTACTTAGCAAAGTGTCGTCGACCCTAATTTATAGTCGTATAACGTTTTCATTAGTTATGTATGGACCAAACAATTAATTAGGCATTTAAGTAGGTTTACGAAAAAAAGTTGAACGTATATGACGTAACTAACTACCACCATGTTTCAAAATGCTCAGTTTCTTCACTTTTTTGCATTTGCAAAGAGCAAACTACATTTTTCATTAATTTAAAAGCGACTATGTGACAAATATACTTTTTGTTTTTGTACGGCATTTTAATCCCAAAATTGTGTCTCTTTTTTTTTTTTATTGTGTTGCTACTTCAATTTCACTACTCATGACTTGGTCTATATTTGGTATATTATAAAATTTTCACACCTAATGATAACTCCATAATCGGACAAAAAAGAAGAATTCAATAGTAATTTCCATTAATAATTTAATGCATTAAGACCACTATTATCCATGGGCTCTTAGCCAAATCTTAAGGTAAGATTTGTGAAGAAAAAGCTTAAATATAAACCTAAAAGCTTTTATATAAGAGTTCTTTCTTCACAAATTTTAGCTTAAGATTTGGCTAAGATTCATCTAAGAGTTCATGGATAAAAGTGCTCTAACACTTCTGACCATCATATTTTATAGCTGAAAGGCTGCACACACCACACATAGTATACTAAATAGCCAGAACTTTTATTTAAAAAAGGAAAAGGAAAACTTCATAACCCACATGCCTAGCCTTCGCTCTACAAGTTAATTTTTACTCAACAAAATTTAAAACTAATAATATGATGATAACTCCAAACAATCGATACAATTATATATACACTTAAACAGATACATATATTGATATATATTAGGTAAACAATCATCCACGCAATAAATATATCACAATAAAACAATTATCTTGTATGTTTTGTTCAAAAGTTATCTTGTAATTTGTTGTTAACCTAAACGACTCGTTTAAATTCCAAACTCGTAAATTAAACATAAACACATTACGGTATCCTACCTTAGGTTATGTAAAACGCAAACGAATTAGAATAAAAACCATAATATATATATATATATACCTCATCATAAATAAATAAGAACAGTTTATGCATTTATAATTCGCTAGGAAATAATATCCCACACACAGTCCATGCATTAAACAAATAATATCGTATTCGTACCACACACACATAAATATAGAGAGAGATGAGAGAATGAGTACACATAATTTATAAAATCTCACATGTTACCTTGCTGATCATGACCATTGTTCCAAGGAAGAAAAGTCCCATACGACCCTCCGGTGCTACGTGGCATCTGACTCATCACCGGATTCGCCCCCGAAAGCCTATAAACCGGATTCAACGGAGGCGGTTGCTGCGGCGGAAGCGGCTGAGGCTGGAAAACCAAGTCCACGACGTTGCCAGGTGTTCCGGCGGCTGATGTGGACAAACCATAATGTGCCAAGTCAGCATTAGCTGCGTCGAGCTCCTTCTGAAGCCTATGGACTTGTCTCTGGAGATAAGAGATGGCTCCGACGCAGCCATAGACTGGGTCACGGACACGTGCCTCGGCCTCATAGGCTAAGGAGTTGACTGCGTCTTCACGTTGGTGAGGGAGGAGCTCATTGAGGAGCTTCGTGACGTTGCTTGCTCCAAAGATTTTGTGGACGTTGGCGAATTTGTGTGGCTCCTCCGGTGGAAAATATGGCGCGAATATGCATCCCGGCATGCATTTCCGGCGAAGAAACTTGCACGCCGCGCATGGTGAGTTGTATGAGTTTGATGACGACGCCATGTTCTTTCTTTTATTGGTTTCTTACAACCTAATATGAAGTTTTAAGAACAAATTATATTAAATAACATAGAAAAGAAAAGTTAAACACACACACACATCTCTATATAGTATATATGTTTATACATAGGTATATATAATTTGAATTTGCTAGGAAATGATGAAACTCCTAGGTTTCGTTTAGAAGTTGTTTTTCTTTCTATATTGCAACTTAACTTTTTGAAAATTTTATATTGGTTTTGTTATTTTCTTCTTTTATTGAATTCCTTACTTTTCCATTGATTTTCTCTTTCTACGTTTTTCTTGATGTATATATAGCATATATGCATGTGTATACGTTTGTGTCTCTATGATTATATCTGTATCACCATATATATATGTACACGTGGATATATAAAATGTCCAACATCCAATCTAATGAAAGGAAAAACATACTATTTACAAAACCTAAAGGTCTTTAGATAAGATTAAATGAACTCGTTCGGAACATAGGGGTTATCCAGAATGCGCTGGAAACTATTACTTAATTTGGTTTCACATGATGTTTTTCTTTCTCAATTAGCTAATCTATCATTTAGAAAATTTAATTTGAAAGTATAGCTTTTGAAAATTTCTTAATAAACATCGTTAATTTAAATTTGTTATGATTTTTCGATATGTATACACTTAAAAGAGCTAGTTTTTCAAGTAGACAAACATCACTTAGCCACAAATTTATTCCCTAACTATCACCTTCTTAATTTCCCCCGAGATAGATATTTAATTACTTTCTCAGGATTTCCTTAACAGAGTATACCCACATACCCACACACATAATTTAAGTTTAATATATGATGTCATAAATTTGGATCAAAGACTCAATTCAATCTATACGATAGTCGGATCGGAGTGTTTGTACAAACTCCCTGGACAAAAAAAGGGGAAAGTCAAATTTGGTTTTTATGTCAGATGAGTTTGTGTATCCCTCTGTATTAATATCAATACATTACATATGAAAATACTACATATTTTGTTCAATACATATATACTTCGATTCATATTTTACCATCAAAGTTTTTTCTCTTTGTAATTCAATTGTGCACTTATGTGCTTTACTATCTCTTCATCTTCCTCTCTCTCTCTCTCTCTCTCTCTCTCTCTCTCTCTCTCTCTCTCTCTCTCTCTCTCTCTCTCTCTCTCTCTCTCTCTTCAACCCTAACTTTGTATGCCTTAAAACTAAACTTGGTCAAAGAAATTTCAAAATTTGTCTTTAGTAAATCAGTTAGATAAACTCTCCCTCTCTTTCTATCTTTTTTCTCCCTCCTTGCCCTTGCGGAGATGAAACCATTCCATTGACCTCAAGTCTATACTAATTTGTATATGTATATAAACTTTAGATCTGACCTTATTTATGTCAACTCAAAGAGATCACGAAAGTTTAATTACACATGTGTTTACTTATATCCATGTCTCATATGCTACAATTAGATTACCTTTTAGGTCTTTCTTATAGTAAAAATTGAAAGGAAAGTGACAGAAGAATCAAAGTGAATATGTGAGTATAATTAAAGTGAATATGTGTATGAGCAACATAGAACATAGAACATGGAGCAGAGAAAATAAAAAAAAAACATAGATTAGAAAATGGCTGTCTTTGATGATCGGGAACTATGCATAATCCAGGGATTTATTAAGATACATACATCAAATCATATATATACTGAGTTATATATATATACCTGCCTTTAGATCTTCAGGTTCTTTGAGGATCTTGTATCTGTCTTCCTCTTTCAAGGGCTTTTTTCTTACCCTTTGAATATCGCTTCCAAAGTAGACAGAGTAGGCTTAACTCTTTAGTCAATGAGAAGGATATATTAGGGTTTTAGCCCTCTCAAAGAAAGAGGAAACCCTAATTTCAAGAAGAATATAATTGAGAAAGATTTGTATAGAAGCTGAGAATTTAAAGAAACCAAACAAACAAATAAAAAGGGGGAAAAAAGAGAAAAATTTTAGTGGAGAGGAAGGAGAAAGAGCAAAAGACAAAGTGTAATAATAACAAATGAACAATTAATAAACAGGAAGAGGAGGAGAGGGTATGTCCCTTAAAGAATGACTATGACATTTCATCTCAAGAATAATAGTAATATCATTTCACTGTGCTCACTTTTGTCTCCCATTAGATTAATTTGTTTAACTTTAGCTTTTGTGGAATTTTCTTCATGCATTCAGTAATAACAATATTCCCTAACAGTCCCGATTCAACCCTAAGCTAACTAATCTATCATCATTGTGTGTATATAAATATCCCTATGATCTCTCTATATATACCCTGTCACGCTGATGGCCAAAACTTGGAACCTCAAGAAACCCTAAACATCTCTATCAGTCTCGACTTTAAGTAAAAGATCACAACAAACCCTGATTTGCAATGAGAATTAAAGATTATAATACAATTAATATATAGCTGTACAAATTTTGTGATTGATGACTTTGTATGTTCACCTTGCTTACACCGTGACGAAAAAATCTTCACATCATAAATTTAATAGTTTTTTTTCGCAGGTGTGGCAATTCTTCAATTTAATTTAATCGAAAAACAATGAATATGAACCAGAATAAACTCTTGAGGCCTCAAAGTAATAAAAATCTTCTCTATAATCGGAAGTTGATTCTGATTATAAATTTGAATTCCGGCTAAAATTATTTGGTATTAAAATTGGTGCGAAAACAAAATAAGAAAAAGACACTATGAAAAATGTCTCAATCGGTTGTCACTTCCAATATATAATACTCCACAAGTAACTGTTGGTATGATACTAACCCTAGCTAGCTATAGCTTCGCAAATCTTTGGACCCCCTCATAGTTTATTTTCCATTACAAAAGTTCTGATTTTACAAAACCTATTTAAACTTGACTTGATCGTTCACATGAAATCGCTTGACTTTTACTGATTTCCTGTCTCTACGTAGCTACTTTGAGTTCTCAAGAGTTTATTCTTGTTCCTATTAACTGTTTTTTCGATTAAATTCTGCCGTAAGTAAATTCTTGGTCTAGTGTAGAATTTCAAATGGTTCGATTTGAATATAAATTAATCAGACTAAATGTAGAGTTTCTTAATTTAGGCTACTAACTGGAGCTGACTCTCTTGGATTGCTGTCAATCAGTGTTCAAGAAAGCGCTAGACGCTAAGCGGGCGGTGACCCAGTGCCTAGCGCCTAGAACGCTTAATCGGAGCCTAGACGATTTTTTAGGCGGTTTAGACGTTTATAACATAAAACATTATAAATATGATATTATATATAAAAGTTATATAAAATATCTATATAAAACTAAAATTATGAAATTATAAACAAAAACTAGATAAAATATTTATTTATATATATATTAAATAATATAAGAATATTTATAACTATATATATAAATAAAACTCTAATTAAAATTAAAAAATATATATTAAACAAGATGTATGTAATTTTAGGCGGTCAAGGCGGTTATCTAGGCGTCGCATGAGAGCCTAGAGCCTAGTCGGGGCCTAGGCGACCGCCTAGACCGCTTTTTAGAACACTGCTGTCAATATTGAACATATATTAGACTGGCAAAATTCAAATGCAATTTTAAATGATAAATAGTTACCTAACTGAAAAGTAAAGGAGATAATTGTATTATTACTAAAAGAAAATTGTATGTTGTGGTAATTAACCTTTGGAATGCTTTCAAGATCCCTTAGATTATTATGTTTTGGTCCAAGTTATGATGGTGGTTAGTGGTGGGAATTAAGTAAGTTACTAAAGTGAAGCATCTAGGCTTTATCACCAAACTATTGTCTTCATATTTTCTTAAAAGATGTAATTTTGTGACTAATATCGGGATTAGGGTTCGAAAATAGAGGTCCTATTCTTTTCTAAAAGAGGAAACTAGTCTCGTACTTGAAAAGTAGAGCTCCTCTCTCATTATGATACAAAAATTTGGCTGATTATTTATAGTTTTCAATGTTATTGATTTGGGCATTCTGATAGCTAAATAAGTAACTATATCGAGTAAGTTGAAAGTTGTTTGGAGTACTACGATATGGTTTATTTGTTTATTAATTCCGATTTGGATCTTGCAAAAAAAAAAAAAAAAAAATTAACTTGTACATCATTATTTTTCTATGAATATCAAGCCATTAATTAGTAGTATACCTTGTAAATTCCTCACTAAGCCTATATCTTAGAGAAGAATTAACATAACAAATTTCACCATCAAAAGATTAAGTAATCGATTAAAGTGGGTATTGATCTATATATAGCCCTTCAATATATATAGAGAGGTTGCATATAAAATGATACAATAGAGAGGTGGGGGTATGAAGTGTTATAAAGGGTTTGCAGAGAGAAAGAGAGAGAGGGAATATGGGTCCTCCTCACACATATGATCTACTAAAACTAGACTAGTACTACTTTGTCCCTCAAATTTTATTTTTCTTCTTGTAATTTAATTAAATCCATGTGACTCTAAGAATCTCTAGAAACCACATTTTATATATATGGTCTCATTTGAAACAACACACACATAAGAGATAATGTTGAATTAATGAACATGCTTACATGCATGTGCTGATTATGGAAGGTAAAGGTAGAGGTATATATGAGAGGTCAATGATTCAACTTGGAGGAATAGTTTTGTTAATATGTCCTTTTGTTTTCTTGTTTGTTTTTATATATGCAGAATCGAATAAAAATAGATAACAATCATGAAAATGAAACACATATAGCAAAGGAAAAATTAGGAGAGGTAGAATTTAAACTAAAAATTCTAATATAGAAGTTTAGTATTCGTCTATATAAAATAAAAATCAATTAATTAAATAGAAATGGATAAAGATTTTATTCTCCCTCGGGATTGCTTATTGCTGCGTAACCACGTGTTGAGTCAAATAAAGTCAACCACCCTTACAGTAATTATAAATTTCGTTTACTATATTATGAATACGAATATACGATCGTGAAAATGTTGTATTTATGCTAAAATATATTCATGGCCTATCCACTTTATTTCACAGTTTATCGACAGTCCAGCGGTCCAAAATGGACGTGTCACTGTTTTTGACGGTCTCTAATGTTCAATTGGTATAACTCATCTAAAAATATATACTCAATTTATCTTGACAAATTTTCAATATCAAACTTTTGTAATTTCATGTTAGCGATTAGCGATGGGTTTTAAGTTTGAATAGATTCCAAAGTTGCCCTGTCAAGTATTATAAGAGTGATAGATCAAATAGGCTTTGGAATGTAGAGTTTTTTTATAACTTTCATGACTTCAGTCTATATATTCTCTATCTACTGTACAATTTTAAATAGTGAAAAGACAACTAGAAATTAAACCTGTGGTGTTTTTATAAACTCTAGTGAAATATTCTATGCAAGTAATAGGTATTTGTATCCTATGGGCAAAAGCCTACGTTAAGCAATAAGCATGCGTTTGATTTAATATCTCTATAACTATACAACTTTTATTAGCATGTTTAATGGTAATTTAGGGACTATATATAGTCTATATCTTAAAGATGTAAAATATTGATTATCAAGTAACTTGCGCTTAGATGTCTATAGTCTGAGATGATAAATGAACTTGTGCAAAAAAAAAAGAACTTAAAATCTTGATTGTTTCTTTACGTGTGCTTTTACTAAATAATTATTCGAATGAATCATTAATCATCTTCATAAATAAAAATCATCTGTCATGTGTAAACACAAACATTTTTTTTTTTTTTTTTTTTTACATATTGCGTTCGAAACAATCAAGAGCTAAATGATGATGTCGAAGAAAGATCATGTGATTGTAATGCTTTTGCCTTGTGATAAAACGTCAATGGCTTTTAACCTAACCACTGTCTATATCTTCTCCTTCAGAGTATGAACTGCCAGAACACCCAAGAAGGCGAGAAGAGCCCATACTTTTGATTTCATTTAAACAGATACAAAGTTCATTGTCGAATTTAGGTTCAAAATACCAGAACAAATCATACATAACAGTAATGAGTAATCTCAATCCCCGTGAAAGAACAAGACAACCTTAAGATTCATCAACAATAAAGACACAATGGCCAAGCAATAATTTATACACTTGTAACACTCTCTGAGACAGAACAAGTTTTGTGTATTAGCTAATCAGCATCCATCACAAAAACTGATTATCAACCAATATCATCTAAGGCTAATATCTCAAGCTGAATTCTCTATAAGGTATCCACATATCAACATAACTTCTCAATCCACTACGCGGTAATCTCTTCTTCCACGCATCAAGATCCGGTAAATCGCCCGTGAGAGCCACCGAGCTATCATTCCCATTCCCAAGCGTTAGAACAAAGAGCTTATCTCCAAAAACCTGATTCATAGCTTTCAACGTTTCCTCCATAACCAAACCTCCATCTCTCTCAGAATCCTCAGCTTCCACACATTTACCTCCAACATTCACCATAATCCTCCCTCTATTCCTCAACCTACATTTCAAATCCTCCCACACTTGAGGATCTTGAAGCTCTTTGATCACACTCCCTTTACTAAACAAATCCACTAAAATTCCCGAAAACCCGGTTTTAACACTAGCTTTCAAAGCATCACCAATGTTGATAAAAATCCTATCTTTATGATCTCTTTCGAGCTTAGAGAGACCAAAGAACTCTCTACCAACGTCAATCACAGAAGGGTCAAGTTCCCATCCATGGATAGCGATTTCAGGAGGGTAAAGCTCGAGAATTAACCGGGCCGTTGAACCGGCTCCGAATCCGAGAATACCGATTGGTCCGGGAGGTATAATCGGAGGCAGAGTAGCGAAAACGTCGAAGTAACTATCGGTTAAGGTTTTAAGAAGGAAAGAGATGCTATGGATGTTACCGGGATTATCGAGGAGGAGGAGACGAGAACCAGCGAGTGGGTGATTGGTCTTTCGGGAAACTTCAATGACTCTAATGTAATTGTGACGGGATTTGAATTTGGCGATGGTTTTGACGTCGTCTGCAGGGATTCCGTCGTCGTCGGCGGAAGTTTTGGTGCGGTGAGAGTTGGTTCGGATAAAGATTGGGTTTTGTGGAGGTTTTGGCCGGAGATTGAGAGTTGAAGGAGGAGGAGAGAGGTTAAGGAATTGACGAGAAATGTGAAGAGGTGGTCGGAGAATTTGGAGAGACACAAGCTCCCTGGCCATGTCTGTTCTTTATTATTGGGTAATCGATGAATTTGGGTGATGATGAATTCAATGGTTTATTGCAATCGGTTTCCGTCGGTTTGGTAACTTCGGAGAGAGTAAAAAAAAATGTAAAGCCATAGTAAAAGAAAAAATGTTTCTTTGCATTTTTCACATCTTCTGATTTTCTAACTTGAGCCAAAATACTTGTCAGTTGTCACCGTTCTAATCAATGCAGCGTTTTCACAGAACTCAAAAGGTTGCTGAAAAAACATGAAAGAATCATCATTCCCCTAACTTGTGTCTTAAATCTGCCGACATTACCATATGGCAAAAGACCCACCAACCATCAAGCTGGTTTAAGACGATGGGGGATTCACGTCTGGCTCTGGGTTATCGTCTTCCATTTCATCTTCACCTGTAGAGTCCCTGTAGATTTTAAGAGATATCATCAATTAATTTCTTAATCTCCTGTTAAGAATTTAAAAAATGAGGATCAATTTAATCCCTGAAGAGTTTTTATTACCTGTCCATAGTTGCGCCACCACGACCTGAGTAACCATGAAGAGGTTTATCATCATCGTCACTGTCTGATTCATAAGTCACAGTTCCACTCCAAATGCGAGGCTTTGGTCTTTGCTCCATGTCTTCTTCCGGCTAAGGATTTAAGATAACAGATCTACTGAGTTGGTTTTCAATAAGACATAACGCAACTAAAACAGTAAAGAGAGAGATGTACATCAATGACTTGAGTAAAAAAATTACCTCGTCCAAAACTCGATTGACTGGTGGTGTGTGCTGAAACTGGACGCTAGGTGCGTGTATTAGTCCCGAAAGTTGTTCCAGCAATGTGTTCCTGAAATTTCAAAAAGTAACTTTCTCTAAGTTCAAAGTATCCCATTGACAAGGCCAAGGAGGCTCAGTAGCTAAAAGCTCAACCATGAAAAGCTTTCGTGAACTATTTGGAACTGGCACAAAGAAAAATTCTTATGTTACATATAGAATTACAATCTTGAGCATCTTAAAATTAGGTGGACTGTTCAGTGGCAGCCGAAGTACAATGACCATAAATAGGGAAAGTAGGAGATATTACCTTATCTTCTCCATATCTTTTGGCGTGTTTAAGTTCTCCATTGGACCTGGGTCGACATGGAGCGTATAATCTGGGCCGAAATACTCAAAATACTCATTGTAAGGGAGTTTGTTGTCTGGCTCTACTCCAACAGCAACTGCAGTCTGCGACGAGGCAACAGAAACAAACACTTTCAAGAACAAAAACCTATATGATTATCAAGAAGTATAGAAGAACTGCAAAAGAGATGGAAAAGACCTCATAACACCAGCAACGAGCAACATTTCGAATAGTATACCCTCCACCACCCAAGACCATGAGAGGAACGTTGTAAGATCTTAAGAACCGAAGGCAATCAGCGTGACCCTTGACTGATAAGTTGAAGCAACCCAACCGATCACCACTTAACGAGTCAGCCCCACATTGAAGAACAACTGCCTCTGGCTGATACACTTCCATAACCTTTTGGATAAGAGGTCTAAACAAGCTGCGGAAACTTTCATCGTCCATACCATCGTTTAGCGGAACATTTAGAGCATAGTATTTCCCTTTTTCTGCGCCAACATCTCTTATGTGACCAGTTCCTGGGAAAAAGTCCCCAAATTTGTGGAAAGAAACAGTCATAACTCTATCAGTGGTGTAAAACGCTTCTTCCACTCCATCTCCATGGTGGACATCGATATCTATGTAGAGAACCCGCTGCAAACAAAATTTGATGAAAGCATTAAGACGTAACTCGTAAGCAATGGAAACATCGTTCCACACTCAATCAACATTTTGAATGATGCTATCAGGATACGATAACAAAGCAACGGAATCCAAACTAGAGAAACTTAAAGAATCAGATGATGGAAACAAAGAGGCAATGTAGAAAACCATTCTCAAACAAATCAACATCCTTATCAGAATTTCTAATAAACAACACAGATCATAAGTTGCAGCTGCGTTTCTCAGAAACACCTGATGCATTTGAACTAACATAATAATGGAAGATTCTAAAGATAATCACACAAAGCTTCAAGGTTTCAGGTAAATTTTAGAAAAACCACTCAAAAAGATAAGCTTAAACCCTAAAATTTTCAGAAGAACAATTATGAAGAGCTAATAGATGAGATCATAAGAAGGAATCGAGCATTTACCTTAAACATCTTGAGCAACTCGAGAATCCCTAAAACGATATCATTTACATAGCAAAACCCAGAGGCCTCGCTTTTCTTAGCATGGTGAAGGCCACCGCCCCAATTGATAGCGATATCAGCGTCCTGTCTGTTTAATTTGACGGCAGCACCAATCGAACCTCCGGCGGAAGCACGGCAAAAATCAAAAAGTCCGTCGAAGACAGGACAATCCTCACCGACATTGAATCGCCTTAGGTTTCGTGAAGAGGAAGGATCGCCCATAGATTCCGGCGAAACGGAAGCGAGGAAATCGACATACTCCGGCGAATGAAACCGGCCGATATCGGAGGCGTCAGCGAGGTTAGGACGACTGATTTCTAAGCGACGGTGGAGGTGATAGTGAATGATTAGGCTATGAGCCATACGGATCCGGTGAGGCTTCATCGGATGTCCTTGACCGTAGTAGTAGTCTCCGATCGTCGGCTCGTAGAAGTAACTGACTCGCCGCTTACGTCCGTCGGGTCCCGACGGCAGAGAGATGCCGCTTTCGTCTGCCTCCATCTTCGTCTCTCTCTCTCACTCAGAGTCTCTGTCTCTCTCTATTCCCAAGTTTTTACTCCGAGCAAAATTTGTGTCTACTATGCCTGAGAAAGTCATTACTACTAGGAGAGGAGTTGTTATTATATATACACGCACATTATTAATTACAATATTATCTTACAATAAAAATTTATTTTTAATAAATTACTGAATTTTAAACAAACGATCGATTATACAATTCCACATTCGATTCCAAAATTTTGATTTCCCTAATGATAGCCGGTAGACAGTGTTAGACAAATAAATGTAAAGAAAAAATGTAAAGAGATTCTTTAGCTGAATTTGGGGTGAATTTACAAATTTTACCTTAAGCATACGTAACTAAGACATCTTCTAGATTTTGTTGGAAAAAAGGAGAAAAAAACATGTTCTAGATCTTATTTACAACTAGTTTTGGATGCTTACATTTGTCTAAATTCTATTCGCATTACTTGAGTCTCCCAAAACGATTTTTTTTTTAAAGTTTTTGAACAGTATTACAGACTTACAGTTGACTAGAGAGTACAGTAGCAAGTGTATTTAGTTGATAGAATCAAGAAGGTAAAATGTTGAAATAATATCATGAAGACGAAGACGAAGAAGCGAAATCAGGTAAATAGTTAAATAGTATAAGTTTGTTCTCTACGACAGAGAACTTCAACTCGAAACTAAACGCTGATCATCAAGTATCATCATCATCATAATCCAAGCTTTTCTAAGGACAAACCAGAGAATCAAAATGATGAGATTATCTCTTATCTCTACCAAGTCCTCTTTCCACCGTGAGGTACAAAGTTTGAAGTCGATCTTGACCGTTTATCTCCAAACCCACCACCACGTCCTCCTCCTCTTGGCCGGAAGTTTCTTCCCCCACCAGAACCTGAACAAGTCAACAAGAATCAGATCATCATACAAAAAATAAACAAGATTGGTTAAATCTCATCAAATGAGAGAAGAGAAATGAGGTTTCACCTCCATAACCCGAACCAGATGACCGGACTAGTGCGGAGAGAGTAGGAGGTACAACTTGACCAGCTTCTTGAAGGATCTTGATAAGCTCTCTTGCAAACTTAGCATTGTCATGTGTGAAAAATGTAAAGGCCATTCCTTTAGCTCCTGCACGCCCGGTTCGACCAATCCTATGGATGTAATCCTCCAAGGTATTTGGGAAATCATAATTAACCACACATTTAATGTCCTTCACATCTGCAAAACAAAATCAAAGAAGAAACACAAAGTTGAGAAGTAAATCATAGACTGATATGAAATGCAGGAAGAAGAACAGAAAATTATTTGTGTAAATGAGTTTGGTGTTTAAAGCCTAGAGGAAGGAGAGGAGAGAAGCCAAGAACCCCTTATCCCTACAACTGCAGATCTGAAAAGATCAAGAAACTAAGAGCAACACATTTTTCCAAGTAAATGTGCCCACCTTAACTTGCAGGGATAAGGAGTGTGTGGGACGGCGTTAAAACACTATTAATGCATGCGGGTGTCAGTCGCCCAGGCTGCACAAAAACCAATCAGCTCCATGCCCGGGAGATGGATGCAGGGAACAAATTCTTCAAAGAAGCTCCTTTTTTCTTTCTATGTGCCTTTTTTTCCTAATACCAGAGGAAACTGTGGAAGCGGCAGCCAGGCGACTTTTGTTTTTATCTTTTAACCCCAAGAAAACAAAATGGTCTAACTCTAATCCTCTCCTATTGTGTATCACAGTTAATCCTACCAAGTCCCCTTGCTGCTACATCAGTGGCAGTCATTATCGGGCTTCGTCCACTCTTAAATTCTGCCAATACTCGGTCCCTTTCCGGTTGGGTCTTGTCACCATGTATGGCAAGAGCTGGCCATCCGTCCATTCTCAATTGTCTAGTCACTTGATCACACCCTCTCTTTGTCTCCACAAATATTAGGATTTTACTCCCATCCATTAACTGCTTAAGCAGTGTAAGGAGCCTATCAAACGAGACAAAAAAAAGCATAAGCATCATATCATATATATATATATATATATATATAAATCATTTCTTATCTAATTACAGAAAAATTAAGAACCTGTTGTATTTCTCTGGCGTCGGTACAATCTCGATTACTTGGTTAATAGACTGGTTAGCTTTTAGATCTGTTGATCCAATAATGGCCTACAAAATAACAACTGTTTTTAGTGCAAAACATAAAACCTCCCCTACTTTATTCAACGACAGTATACTCAATCCTAATAAGTAATAAGCTAAACTAAATATCAAGTAAACCTTATATGGATCTCGTAGAAACTGCCTGGCAAGAGATTCAACCTCTCGTGGCCATGTTGCACTCCAAAGAAGTGTTTGTCTATCAGGTCGGATCTGTGAAAAAGAAGGAACAATCTCAACAAAAGCCGTAATGGTTCTTATTTCACAACGGAACAATAAATTGAGAAGAGAAAGTCTATCGACTGAATCATGTTGGTCAACCACCCTTTCTCCTTAATGACACTACATGATAGCTTTGGAGGAAGTACAACCATACCTGAGATACAATCTTTCTAATTTGGGGTTCAAATCCCATGTCTAACATTCTGTCAGCCTCATCCAGTACAAGGTAAGTCACTCTCTTCAAATTAGTGTGTTGACACTCCAACATATCGATCAAACGACCAGGTGTAGCAATTACAATCTCAACACCTGACAAGCCAATCATGATTGTATGTTCCATCCAAGAACCAGACATGAAAAACTACAATATTAAAATGAATATAAAGTACCTCTTCTAAGATCGCGAATCTGAGGTCCTTTAGGAGCACCACCATAGATACAAGTACTTCTAACACCAGATCGAAGCCCGAATTTCCTTGATTCCTCTTGAATCTGAACAGCTAGTTCTCTCGTGGGCGCTAGAATTAACACAATGGGGCCATCATCCTGTCCTAATACACCCCAACGATGCACATAAAAATTTGCAAAAAAAAATGAATGCAGCAAAATCAGATTATCAATTAAGAGTTGTAATACTCACCTAATCGAGGTTGCGCACTAACGTGAACCAACGCTGGTAACAAGTAAGCCAATGTCTTACCAGAGCCAGTCTCAGCAATACCAATCAAATCCCTACCCTTCAACGCCATCGGCCATCCTTGAGCTTGTATAGGTGTTGGCTCAGTAAATCCCAATTTAGCAATTGCTTCGAGAATATTATCTAACAGAGATAATAAAGCAACATTCCCTCAATTGAAGAACAACTAATCAGGACTAAAAACACTTATGACCAATCCAATAAATTACCTGGAAAATTAGCATCTTGGAACAACTTAACCGGCTTAGGAACATCACGACCTTCAACGGATATATCCCTCTCGGTTCTGTACATAGCAACATCCTGCTCTGTCATAGCCTGCACAGAGGGACTCTCCACGTAGAAATTCTTCTCGAAATGTACAAGATTCCCAAAATTCTGCTTCGGAAGAGAAACACTATCTAACTCTCTTTTACTCGATCCACCACGTCCTCCCCAATTCCCTCCGCCGCTTCTATCCCCGTATTGACCGTATCCACCTCTTCCACCGCCGCGACCAACAGAGAAACCACCAGTAGGTGGCTGGAAAGATGGGTACCGATTATAGCCGGAATTGTCACCGGCCATTACAGGAGACGGTCCATATCCACCTCCACCACCACTGTACCGTGGGTTGTATGGTGCAGCGGAAGGATCCATCGGCTGAGACGAACCAACTGGGGCGCTAAAGTAACACAGATAAGATAAGAGTTACAGATCCAAGGAAACAGAAAGAAGAAATTGGTTGATTGGTTTCACTTACCCAGAGCGTTGGCGATACGAATTTGGATCAGCAAATCTACGATCATACGAGCTCATCGTAACTGAATATGTTAAGAGTTTTTTGATCTTGTCTCTCGCTTAAATTCTACTACGTAACCTTAGAGTCGAATTGATGCTAGAGAAGGAAGAGAGTGCAAGGAAGACGTCGAAAAAGCCGCAAAAGGAACAAAAAGCTAGATATTTTATGATTCGTTTTGGACAGTAAAATTCCAAAATTAGTAACCCTAATTTGTCCCACCTTTTTTTGTTCTTATTATTGCGCGAGTTTAATTTCCATTATTTTTGTTGGTAAGCAGAGATGGGCCATGAGTAACCTCTTAATGGGCTAAAAAGAGGACCCAAACAATTGCTGAAGAGTGAGGCCTGAGGAGTCTGAAAAAATACTTGCCAACAGTTTCGAATCAAATTTTGTAAAATCTTAGAAGTTACGATGGGGCTTTTTCAGACATACCATCTCATGAGTCATGACTACACCAATCCTAGTCATCGTACACATTTTTTTTCTGGAATATTACCATATATACTGTGCGCTTTTTTCTAACAAGTGAAAAAGTGTATATTTGACTTGACCCATAATATTTCCAAAATCGAGTCACTAATATTACATGTAACCACATACTTGACAAATTTATAATTACAAACATAATAATGACCTTTTAGCAAAAAAAAACATAAAATGACTTAACTTATGATCATGCTCAAAGCCAAAATCAATCAATATTCATGTCATATAAACAAGAGACTGCTAAGAAGGTACGAGTCAGCATTCAATATTTGATTATTTCTATTGTATTACATTGAATAAAAAATTTATGACTAGTTTTCTTCTTTGATGGTCAATGTCTATAATGATGACCCACACTTTAAAGAAAGAAGATTTCTTCTTAAATGGAATCAATTAAATAAAAGAATATTCCGTTCTTGGAATAACAGAATTGTCCAAAATGCCCATAGAAGATCCAACGAATTTTCCATTTGCCCATACGCGTAAGACCCCACCATGACATCACTCCTTCCCTATAAAACCCATCCACCTGCAACCTTTCTTCTTGGTTTAAGACACCAAAAACAAACACTCACAAATAAAAACTTCCCTCTTCTCTCCCAAATCCTCAGAAATTCAAAAAAAAATCCCTAACACCAATGGTGGCCGTTGATTATACCGAGAAGAATAGTGGAAGCAGTCTCAAGTTTCTATGCAGTTACGGTGGTAGAATCTTCCCTCGTTCCACCGATGGCAAGCTCCGTTACGTCGGAGGTCACACCAGAGTCCTCTCCGTTGATCGTTCTATCTCTTTCTCAGGTTCGTCTCCACTTCAATTTCGTATTGAAATCGATTCGACTTCTGATTTTGCCGAATCTGCGATTGATTTTTAATTTTGTTTCTCCAGAGCTGATGAAGAAACTCTATGAATTCTGTGGATACTCCGTTGATCTACGATGTCAATTACCAAACGGAGATCTCGAGACTCTAATCTCCGTTAAATCAGAAGAAGAACTAGCGAACATCGTCGAAGAGTACGATCGCATCTCCGGAGCTAAGATCAGAGCCGTTCTATCGCCTCCGAGATCTTCGCATAAGAACGATTCGTCGCCGTCTTCAAGCGGCGATCGATCTCCGAAATCTCCGTTCTCCATCACGCCTTCACCGCCGAATTCGCCGTCGCCGGCGTACGGAAGATATCTACAATCTCGGTATTGTCCAGCGGATCTTTTTCCGAGAAGATACAATCATAGATCGGAAGAATCTCATTGCTGCTATGCGTGTCGTGTACACAACAAAGACTCTAGGCTCGTATGGCATTGAAGGAGATTGGGGAAAAAATCGAATATACGCCATAGATACGGATACGAATACGAATACGATGATAATGACGAAGAAGAAGCAATTAAAAAAAAAAGGGATTTAATTTAGGTTTTGTGGAATTTTTACGATCTGTTGATTTTTTGTGAAGAGAAGAATTAAAATTTTCCTAAACAATTTCGGGTCGGAGACGTAACCGGCGGAGAAATTAATTTAGACGGAGAATATAGCAGACGTTAGTGGCCGTTACTAACCGTTAGAGTTGCCGTTACGACGTGTTTGCACGTACGGCGTTTGTTTTTGTTATACTGATACGTGGCGAATACTGAGAGATCATCGCGTGTCAATTATCAGAGATGTGAACACGTGTGTTGTCCGTGGATTAGTTACGTCACACGTGTCACCCCTTCGTATCCTGGAGTTTGTGTTGCTTACGAGGTTTCTTTGTTTTTTTACTTGTTTGATAAGTAATTTTTTAATTGTTTCTTAAGTTTGTTAACATTCGATTCTTTTTTTTTTTGTCTCATCAGGATTGGAGAAGGACATGAGATTATTCAGAGTCTCACACGGAGTTCCTTTGTTTATTCGATTCAAATTTTGCCCCACTTGAGAAAAGAAAAAAAGGAAAAAGGACCAGCAAAAATATTAATTAATCAGAAAATTTATTGAAAACAGAAAAAAAAAATTGTTAGTCGGCGTATTTTAGTTGACTTCCAAAATTTTCGCAACTTGTGAATGGGACAGACTGAGGAGTGGAGGACTAACGAATGAAGAATTAGGTGAGCAACTTGTTCCATCTTAACTTAAAAACTTGGAACTCCACAAAAAATATAAGAAGTTGTTCAATGATTTATAAAAAACTTTTTGAAACAGCAGTAGTAGTACCACACATTTCTTGTTTTTCAGCATTTTTTGTTGAAATATCATCCAGCAGAAAGTCACAAAATAATCTCAAATTTTTAATTCATATACAAACAAAACATTATCTTGGCTTTTTTTGGTTTCGCCAAAGCAAATTTATTCATTCAAAACCCAATTGCCAATTACAGTATATGCTTTTCGTTAAAAAATTTATCATTTTTGGTCAAATATCTTCTTACCCGTAATTGGCATATAGTTCGGTCTAAGCTTTGGAAAATGTCATCATCAAATCACTAGAATCTATAAACCATGAAATCCAATGTCAATACACAAACATAAAACCAATCCACATTTTTTAGGATTTTCAATGTTACAATTAAAACACCAATGCACCATGAGACAGAGACAATGAACTAGGAATAATCCACTGCCCAAAAGTGATAACATTTCAACTTGTTCCTAAGAAAAGATAATGGCTTACAAAGTCAGAATCACAGTCACAAGTGTCCTGAAATTTCAAGCCAACTCCAGCAATAAAAATACTCCCTGAGTGTTTCAAGATTTTTATCCGGTTTCTTGCTCAAACTCTTCACCATCTGATTCCTCTGCATTGTCTGCATCATCATCCTCTGCTTCATTATCGTCCTCTTCTTGTTGGTTGTCAACGACTGGTTTTCCAATTACGGGCAAAGCAGGACTCATCTTTCTGATCTCGTTGCACTGCACCATACCAAAAAGACAAGAATTTACTTAAAACACTCATAAGAACAACACTGAAACTGACAATTAGCCCTCTTGAAGTCTTCTAATCTACATTACATTTGATCCTCCAATGAACAAATGCCTATATCCTTGGAGTCTCTACCATGAAAAAGCACTACAACTTAGCATCGGAATCCACTAAAATTCAAACCTATTTAGTTTTTACTAACTTAAAACTCGAAAATAAGATCCCAAAAATATGCTCCAAAGAAGAAATATTCAAAAGCTCCTAAATCATCGTATCAATGTGAAGTATAGAAGAAAATGAGCTGCTTAAAACCAGGATCGAAAAAGATTAATCATTTATTCTCTCCGGTTATCATCACATTAAGTAGAAACCACTTATAATCAATAAATCTCACTCAAAATCAGCTCGAATTACATGAAATTAAAGAGCTAAGATTGACCTTTTTATGCTTTAGTGACATTCGAAAATTAAAAATTTCCTATCAGCAGATTCCGAATACAGAAATAAGAAAGGAAGCTACCTTTTCTTCGAACTCAGCTTCTTCCATGGCGAGAAGAATCTCCTCGTTCTGCGGCTGAGGCCATTGTAGAGGAAGCAAATACGATGCCGGAATCGTCTTCGTCGACGACGGGAATTGGCTCATCAACGTCGGAAACTGTAACATTCTTCTCTCCTTTTTTTTTTTTTTTTTTTTTTCTAACGAAAAATAAAATAATAATGGAGGAAAAGTAAATAAAAGAAGACCAGGTTTATTAAAACACTGCGTATTTATTATTGGGCTTTGATCTGTTTAGCCCATTGTTTTTGGGTTCAATAGTGAACATTGCTAAGATGTTTTTTTCTTTTTTTTTATTCAACAGTTGTAGCCTGGTAGGAAATAGAGAGGATAGTATGGGACAAAATAACAACTAGCTTGTAGTTTCTGCAGAATGTGTTCTCTTCGAGGTGGGACAATGTTGACAAAAGCCCAGAAGTTTATCAAATTATGATTCTCACTCGAAATCACCTCGAATAACATTAAAATTAAAGAGTTGAGATTGGCCAATTGAAATTAAAGAAAAATTGTGTTTTTTTTCGAAATGGAGGAAAAACAAAGAGAACAAAAGTTAGAGCACTTAGTGCAATAACTAGTGGGCCCCTACTATAGAATAATTGTTTCTTACGCGAAGGCCCATTGGGTCACTCCCTACCTTCCGCGCCTGACCTAATTTTGAAACAAACACCGTCTTAAAAATGAAAATTCTTTTTAACAAAACAATAAATACGCATCTGGTCTTTATATTGTTGATGACTAGTAAAATACTGTACAACTATTTGATTAACCCATAAAACATCGAATCTTGCGAATACATATCACTTCTTTTCTTCTTTTAAAGCAATATTAACATATACTATAGTATTTACATCTTGTTTTACATTTTCGAAATAACACTACAAGAAATATTAGCATTGATAGCACATGACGATAGCGCATTTTTCGTCACTGCTATTAAAGATGGTACTCAAAGTTCGGTAACTATATCATAGCATTTCAAAAATACTAAGACTAACAATAGCAGAATGAAAAACTAAAATCACTTTGAACCGGCGCACTTAGCAAAATTTTTATGTTTAGCGCTCCACCAAATTAAAAAAAAAATCCATTTGTTGCCAAACAAAACCTAATTTTTCTCATATTTGCCTCATTATCTTCTCCTCATACCTCTTCGTTCTCTTCGAGACCTTTAATTTTTTATAAAGTAACGCTCTCTCATTTTTTTTTTGTCTCACCTTCAACCCTAAATCCCCTTTCTCCATCTCCAAAAAAACAACAGATCTAAAAAAACACAGATCTTCCACTTATCCATACTTTGAAGATCCTCTTCTCCTCATCGTCTTTCTCCATCTCCAAATTGTCGCCGCGTCATCAATCTTCCATATCTGAGAACGACCGATGGTACTAGATCCGCCGGGGGTCAAAATTTCTCCGATTTGGTCTGGTTCGAGCTCAAGTATCCTTCATCCTGAATCGGGTCCGTTGGTTTCTCCATCTATAGACTTGGCTGGTTTGTTGTGGTTCGAGCTATGGCGAAGTCTCAAACAGATCAGAGGAATAAGGTTACTTTTCTGCAATTTCAAATTCATGATTCAATTTCAATTAGAAATTAATTTTTTGTTTGTCTTTTTTTGGATAGAGAGGGAGAAAGAAAGAGTCTTGGTTTGATGAATCCTCTAAAAAAAAGTCGTTTCCAAATCCTTCTTCTTCGTCATCTCCGTGGGCATTTGCGTTCCACATTTTTTCTTGTTACTTCTTCATGTCTAGCTTCTTGTTCTTCTTCGTATTCGTGAGTCTCTTTCAAATCTCTCTATCATTATCAGTTTTCAACTTCTGGGTTTAGGTAACTTCTTCATCATTAAAATGTTGTTTCATGATAATAAAAAGTCAAGTCCGAGTTCGTTTCTATCTCTAGTTATAATCGTTACTGATGTGAAAGTTTCTTATACTCATATGAGTTACAGCTTACTGTGAAT